TCCTGTTTGACGGAGGTTGGCAGTGATCCAGTCGTGAATCCGATTCCGGTTCACCACTAATTCTGGAACACTGCCAATGAAGGGCCACACTCTTGGACCCGTTAGGGTTCGAGCCAAGAGATAAAACCAAAGAAAATATGTGGATAAAAGAGCAGCTGCTAGGGTTAAGAGAACAGGGAGTTTATCCATTTCCACCATGGTACGTTGTTTTGGCAACTTTTCAGAAATGGGGTTTGAAGTTTGAAGTGATTGAAGGGCGTTTTTATATGTATCTTCATAGGATGACGATGATGTAATGGGAAATGTTTAGGAGAGGTGGTTTTGAATTTTTTGCATTCAAAGGTCGCTGATGCACTACCCAATCAGAAACATCCACCTTCTCCTGTGAGAGAAGGGTTGTGGAGTGATTTGTTTAATTTTAAAAACTTTACTATTTTGGCTATTCTAATCTATTAAGTATTAATTATATCCATTCTTTATATACTTAATGTATCAGTTTATGGTCTTCACTTTTCCAGTGTGACATCATGCATGGGCCATACAATTTTACTTTATGCCATTTTTTACTTCAACGGTGATATCAATTACTAATGAAGAGTTTTTTATGATCTCTTGATTGATCAATAAAATCTAGGTTAGGAAAATGCTTTCAAACAATATTTGTTTTTTTTTCTTTGACAATAAACACGTTTTCATTTTATTTAACTGATGTAATATTATTATTTAAACATGAAATTCGTAAACACCACACTCCTTCACTTCCAATATAATACTTGGTTTAGCAATTTAGTTTTGTTCCAAATTTAGTATTGTTTTATAAATTCCAGATGACATATGTAATGTTTCCCAATTATATATTACATTTTACAAAAACAAGTACATTAAAGTCTATTTCTACCTAAGGCATTGTTTATATTAATTGATTACATATGAGTGAATGATATAGTGATATCTATATTTTCTCACTCAATTTTGCAAAAAGTATGGTTTCTATAATATCCATTTGAAACATAATAGATGGTTATGTTCACTGTACCCATCCGAGTGAAATTTAAAAATGTTGATTAAAATATTTAAACACATATATCAAAAAAATTTGAATTTGAATCCAGTTATCCACGTGGGACAATATTTTGGTGGACAATATAAATATTTTGTATATATGTTTTTTTTTTAACTTTGAAACATAAATTTGTGAATTCCATTAACCCAAATCTTTTCATGGGTAAAAAACAACGAGAATAAAAAAAAGAAAAAGAAATGAGAATATGAGGGTGATTATTCCAGTAGAGAGGAGCTTCTTCGGGTTTGAGTCCCAAATTTTTATGTCTTTTATCTTTATTTTTAATTTTATCTCTAAATTTAATAATCATCAAATATAATTATTTATATAATTTTTTTTTATTTTATAAATATTAAAATAAATTATTAAATAAATTTATTTTATAGTTTAAAATTTTTTTATATTATTTTTTTCTAATATTTTTTATTATATATTCATGATATGTTATTTCATCAAAATGATTAGTCAATATCAATCACTAATACCCAAATTCCAGCTATATTATCCTGAGGAATTAATTTTAATGTGATTTGCTTCAAAGTATTGTTTCTATTTTTAGTTTGGATAAGAGTTTGAAAAACAATTTAAAAAAAAATAATATAATAAATTTGAATTGTTTTTATTTTAAACTATTTTATATGATGATTTATTTAAACAAAATAATTTTAATTCCTCCAAATGAAATAAATGGCCAAAATAATACTCTTACACGTTTCCTAAGTTTTTCCATTTCACATTAAAAACAACTTATCAACTCTGAATAAAAAAACAGATAGGAAACGTCAATAAATTAAAATACTTATAAACATATACTAAAAATTAATCATAGATGTAAAAATATAGTTAATTAAAAAAATAATACAGACTTTTTTTATTATTATAATTGATCAAAAAATAATTTAATTTACATCGAGGTTAATTAAAAAAATCTCAATATTATTAATGAAAAATAATATTTAAAGAAGTTGACCGACAGTATACAAATGCTGAAACTTAATTTTACTTAAAATAATGATGTCTCAAATGAAACTGAATTATGATGCACCAATTGAATTGACGAGCGAGTATGAAAAGAAAACTTATTTATATTAAAAACATTTTAATTTTTATGTTTTAGCTAAAATTTAAAATTATAAATTTTAATCAATCAGATTACTCTCATAAATCTTTTTTTTTTCATTTTTATTAAAAAAAATATAATCATAAAACATTTTAAACTCTCTTTAAATTTTTTTTTTTTAAGTTATCGATTTAAATATAAGATTTTAAATAGGTTAAGAGGATTTATAACTTGTTTGATTTAAGTTTCCAACTCTTTAGTTTTAAAAAATAATTTTTTAAGAACTATTTGTAGAATATATTAAAAAATGCTTTTTAATAATTATAATTTAAAAACTATTTTAAATGAGAAATAATGATACTAACTCAGAGAAGTTAAAGAATGATGTGGTCAGTTCCATGACAACTAAATAGAGTTATGTAATACATTCATATGAAAACAGACATATCATTAATAAAGACATAAAAAAAACATTTTATGAATATTGATTTGTTTAATTTTTTAAAATTTAAAAGTAAAATTTGTTTTTATAAATAATAAACAGACAATTATCTATAGTTTTTTTTTTCCATTCATCTTCCTTAATTTATCATTATAACAAGTACATTAGTCAAAGCATTAAGCCTGACATAAGTTATAGTAACCTTTCACCTTTCAAAAATATTCACTATCATTTTGTTCCAAACTAAACTTTAATATGTGTCGGTGAAAGCAAAGTAAGTACACAGCTTTACCTAATTTTTTTTCCTCTTGTATGTAAAGAAGAATATGCCAAAGTCGTATCTTTTATTGGTATTCTTGCGACCGAAGAAAGTTTAGAGTGCAAGAGAAAGAGCAGTTAGAGACGGTTTAACAGAAGAGAGAAAATGGGTTTGCTACAAATATTAAAATCTATGGATGTGAAGAAAAATGCATAAACCAAGAGTTTAGTGGCTTCATTCTTGAGTATGGAGTGGAAACCTTTGGAAACACTTCAGAAAAACCTCTCCTTCAATTACCTTTTTCCATGGGAAACTGCATCCACCAACCCATGGTTCTGATATCTTTTTTTTTTTTCTTTTTCTTAAACGAACCCTTGGTTTTTAAGTCAAATAGTTTGTCAAATCCAAATTAATGCAATCCAACAAATTTGACAATCATAGTTTTTGTGACAATCATAAGTCGTCAGAATGTTTTAGATTTTCGATGGTTTTAACTTTCAGTAGATGATATCCACGAGACTCTTGTTCTGCAAATAGTATTCACGATTTTTACGTTAAATGCTTTGAGATCCAGCGTTAATCTGTTACAGTTTTTATTTATTTTATTTTTTACGTGGAATAAGATAAAATGGTATTAAAAATGTATTTTAATCTTCAACGTATGTGTTCAAGATTTCATATAATATATTTTTAATAATTAATTTTATAAGTTATCTTTGTAAGATTGAGCTACATTCAATATTTAAAAATATGTACATACCTAATCCTAGGGAATAAGGTAAATGTCTGATGATTATATGTGAAATATTTAGATAAATAATTTGAATTATTCGAAATATTTAATAAATAAAAAATATCTCTTAAATCTTGAACGAATTATTTTTATTTTATAAAAGATTATATATTCATCTCCTTTACATATATTCTTTTATTCATTTATTTTTTCACATCAAAGAACATTTAACACGGAAAAGATTGAAGTAAACTCGTGTTCTTCAAATATAGAAACACATGCATGAGAAAACAAATGTTACCAAGTCTTTAATGTTTAATAATAAATGGGACTTTTTTAAGTCTAACACACTTAAATCTACCCGTCAAAGTACCAAATTTACTCCAAATTTGGAATGTGAAAAAAATTATATTTCATTAAAATCGTAACCTTATTCCTATAAAATCCTTCCCATTTAATAAATTTCTACTGAATTTCTAGGCATTGAAATATTTAGACAATTTATAGCCAAATATACTATAAACTCCCAATTATGTAAGCTAGAGCAGAAGATTTAAAAATCATAGGTAGATAAAAATAAAGAGCCTAATTTGTTGCTTTTTTTCCTGTACCCCATAATTCTTTTATTAATTTTTGTTGAAATTCTAAAATCTTCTCTTTCTTTTTTTCCTTTTCTCTATATCTTCATATCTCTTATGCATATTCACATTCCTGCAATTTTGTTTTGTTGTAGTTTTATCTTGATTGAAGATTGTTTTGAACCCAAAAGTAAGAAAATGTCAACTGGATTGAAAGTGAATATAGGATCCAAACGCTCAATATTTTTGAACTTGAAAATGTGTTCCAAAACACTCAATTCAAAATGTTTTTATATTTCTAAAAAAATGAATCCAAAAATGTATTTTATATTCTAAAATATATTTTTAAATTGACTATTTTAAAAATAAATTTCAGAGTAAATGTTCTGAAATATATGTGGAATGTATTTTTATATTAACTATTTTGAAAATACATTTTAAAACATTCATTACAAAATATATTTTTAAATTAATTTTTCTAAAAATATATTTTGAAACACTCAATCAAAAATATATTTTTGAAATAACCAATCCGAAAATGAGTTCCAGAAATATACACATGTAAAATAAGATTTATTTTAATTATAATGGTGTTGGAAAAACTATGGAGGTTGCAGGAAAAAACATCCAATTTTTTTTTTAGGGAGGGTCTAAACCTAAACTCTTTCTTTCCTCTTTTGGACTCAAAACGAGGAATGGGCTAAAGGCTCAGGGCCATCAACTGACCGAGGAATTTTGGTCTTACAACCCATACTTTTCTTTTTGCACCACATAAATACTTGTCTTAATACAGGCCCATTTTCAAGTGGCGAGAGGTTTGTGACCTTGAGACAATGTTGAACCCAGAAAGGGGTGAGAAAAGGCAATGGATACGGTGCATCCACACGTCAAGTTCACAGCCTCACCAGGTGAGGATGAACCTTCAACTTGCCATGCATAATTTTCCTCTTTGTGAAAAAAATTATGTACCAAAAAAATTAGCCACTATCAAGATAAGACACTTGTGGAGAACTCGTGCTATGGTGTCTCATATCATCATTTATAACTCAATCCAACGGCTCACATTCACTTGTGCGGTGCAGCCACAAGACATGATATATATTATCATCACATAAACACTCAATTCTAAGTTTCACCAAAACTTGTTCACCCCATTTTGTCTTCTCAATTCTCATTATTAACACTAGTGGTAGATTAATTGGCTTGGAACATGGCTTCTATCATCATGTCATTTGCTCCAGCCACTGGTAGAGTTTTTGCAGCCACTGCTGCAAAGGGTGCTGGTGGAAGCAAAGAAGAGAAGGGTTTCCTTGATTGGATCCTTGGAGGGTTGCAGAAGGAAGACCAGCTGCTAGAGACTGATCCTATCCTGAAGAAGGTGGAGGAGAAGAATGGAGGCACCACCTCCTCTGGCCGAAAGAACTCTGTGGCAGTGCCACAAAAGAAGAAAGGAGGCTTTGGAGGACTCTTTGCCAAGAACTGAAGCAGTGATTTACCTTACATTTATTTTACCTGTTTTATCAAATGCATCCATTGTTGTCTTGTCCACTTAGATTCCAACCTCTTGATCTTATTGAATATTTTGCGTTTGGCTCTTCTGGGTCATTATATTTACAGAATTATATCGATTCATTTTGGATCAGTTACCAACCAGGTACAATCTGTTAAGCAATTTGGATATATTTTGAGATTTTTGGTTATTTACTTTACTCTCTTACAACTTTAGAACTTCAAGTTAAAAGGTAAGCCTTGTCTCTGGTAAATGATAATGTCATACAAATTCCAATGTTCAAATAGAAAAACTCATTTCGTCATCAGGATGACGAGGAAAGAAGATAAAGTAGTGTGTGACAACAAACAAGGACTAGCCCACCCCATTTATTTGTGTTTCTTACGACAGAAAAGGCAGAGTTCACAGATTTTGCAGCCAAGATGAACATTCAATGAACTTAAATACAAAGTATTAATATTTCATTGTAAATGACCCTTATTTCAATTACACGGTAAGCTTAAATAAACATCATGTTTTTGTTGTTGGAGATATGTTCAAGAAAATAAACGATTATATCCTATTTTGTTTGTTAATGATATCAAAATGTTTTGTCATTCAGTAAATGTTGTCAAATTCCAATGATTAGATGGAATTGACCCAAGTTGGAAGTTTCAACCTTAAATAACTGTTATTCCATGGACTTGGAACATATTGAACTTTCGACTTGAGCATAGTCTCTAACGTTGGAGTCAGATAACCTCCGCAGTAGTACTATCATCCTTGCAAAAGGGGCAGCACAAAACCATTAGAATTTAAGATTGTCAAGAACCATCAATGATTGTTCTAAGACCATTACCATTTGCAAATGATATGAAACTATTAATTTACTGTCATACAATGTTTGAAAAGTAAGGCTAGGCGTTTCTTAAAGAGCCAGAGAAGAAAGGAAATGTGAACATGAGACCTATTAAATGGTTTTGAACAAATATTGCTAATTAAGCATGTGCATGGTTGAACATAAGATTTTCATTAACCATTGTAACGTTGTTCATAATATATCAATTAGTTACTTTTAAAATACATGCTAAAAGGAAAGAACTAATGCAAATACATTGAAAGTCAAACATACTGTTCCAATTGAAATGAAATGCATGTTGGTAGAAGCTCATCAAAAGAACATACTACCGATTATGTTTGCATAGCATACTGCACTACAGATATATTATAAATCAAACAATAACCTTCCGGCGGCATCATCTGAACACATTCAAGAGAACAGACACTGAAATATAGCATCAAGAACTCCTTAATCTTTAATTTCACAGTCTATGATTCCATGTTTTTCAAAAAAGTATGTGAAAAATCTTCTCCTGGTGTTGCAGTTACTGAATTTGATCTAGAAAAGGAGGTGTGGATAAACTCAATGCAGTCCTCAACAGCTTCTGTCCTACAATAATCAACAGATACTCCGATTGGTTTTGATCTTCCCGTGGAATATGAATTTCGCTTAGAAGATTTTCTCACAGACCTCAAGCATATAGCTTTTGTCACTTTATCTGCAACATCCTTCAGAAACTCAATGGGGGACAATTCATACCGCCAAGGAATCCTGAACTTGCAGCTCCTCCCATGCTTATTCGCAGATGATCTCCTGGTGTTATTTCTCCAGGACAAGCTTGTTTTCTCAAAGATGCAGCCTGTGTGACTCATTGTGTGTTTCTTTTTTCTTTCTCTGCATAATCATAGTATTATATACCGAAGAGGGAAACAAAGTAAGAAAGAGTGTATGTCAGAAGTGATGTGGTAACAGACAAAACGAATTGTAGGTAAGACCCAACAACACAGTTGTTGGAAAGGTTGGAAATTTGAAATAAGAAAGGTCTTGTGTGCTTGAGTGAGGAAACTAACCGTAGTTACCAGGTATGTGGTAAAGGTTTTGTAATAGTCATGTGATAATTTACCAATACCTTAACCATACATATATCAGGTACTCTTTTAAGGAGGTTCTATAATAATCATGTAAAAAGTGATGAACTGCGTGCATATATAAACTGCGTATTTATCTTTATCACCTATCTTGATGAGATATGTGATGAAGGTACAAGTTCATTATGCGTGTAGTTAAATAATTCATGACTTTTTACATGATTACTAAATACTTTGAAAAGTATTTGCCATTTTGAATGTAATATAATGATTTAAGTATTTATACCTTTACCATCTTTGATGATGAAGTATGTGATAAAAGTACAAGTTTGTAGTTTGTGTAGGTACACAATTCATCACTTTTTACATGATGATGCAGTGAATTTGATACATGGTACATCAGATTATCAAGTGAATTACGTAGTTATGAAACTACACTAATCTTTACACTTAGTTACTGAGAGAATTATATAACTACGAAACTACCGAGTTTTCAATCCAAAGAATCGTATTTAGTGGTGTTTACAATTTCTTGGGCTACAGAACAAAACATTTTTCATGATTGAGATAGTGTATGGATTTATTGAAAGCCAAAGATAATCTCAATCCAGATGTGTGTTTCAGATGAGTAGTAAGTTTTTGTGATGAAAAAGCTGTGTCAAAGAAGCAAAGGTGTGTGGCTACAAGGTGGGTTAAGGAGGTGAGAAAAGAGGAATACGTGATGATGGGTGAAAGAGTAAAAACAAAACTGAGCAGTTACACTTGCTCTCTCTATATTCTGTTTCTGATGCACTGCACCATTGACTATGTTGACAGACATTGTAGAGAACACTTTCGTGATGCTTTACTTAGGCAAATGTATACTTATGTGGGCCCCACATGAAACCTTCGTGTTCCTAAGGTAGGTATCTACGCAAGAAAGATCAGGCGGAGGGTATCTAGGTTGAGTAATAAAATTAAACAAAAAAGATTCAACTTTTCTCTTTTACCATTTTTTAACTGACCGCATTCAAAATCTTTACCAATACCTAATCTCTACTAAAAATTGTAAATGATCCTCTTTAATATGCTTAATCGTAAGTTTTTTCAAGGATAAAACTTTTCAAAACCATATATGTTTATAATATCTGCATCCAATTTCACTTTATATCATAATCAATAAGTGTAACCCTTTCCAAACTCTCCAATAAAAAGAAAATAGTTCGTTGGAAAATTATTTTACTCGTTTCAATACCTGACATAAAACAGAAAATTGGAGCGTTAACGTGAACATGAGTTCGTATTAATCAAAACAAGACAAGAGATATAATTAAACCGAAAGGAGTGAATCCAAAAAAGATAGAGGGCTACGAAACCAAATTCAAGCAAAAACAAGCTATTTGAACTATAGTTTGTATATCCATATCTACTCATATTGAAATCAATAACTATGAATCGAGAGAGAGAATTACACCAATAAAACTCATTTAAGGAGTGAGCTTTATTGGCTAAAATGTCTATAAATATGATCTATAGCAAAATTCATGTTCTTGGTTATATTCATACAATTAGACCATCTGGTTTCAAGTCTCTTGGGGGACTGAGTCTGAGCTTTTGAAAGACTGCACCACCACAATAGAATCATATTCCAGCCAGGGATAGTTCCATCCTCTCCGGTGGACTATTTCAATGACTGTAATATCTCCCTTAAACTCAGCAAAAAAGAATATTGAGACACCCAATTTAACGTAGAAGTCCCCAAGATAGTGATTTCTAAAATACCACCACAACCTCATACATGTTACACTTGGTTCAACCATGCAAAGGATGTCTGAGTTTAAGTTGCTTCCTAATTGCAAATTCAACAATGGAAGAAGTCATGGAGAAGTAGATGGCATTTCCAATGATATTGATCTCCCAATGATCAAGGAGAACTTCTGCACTAAGGGAGCGGAGTTGTTGAAACGCCTCATATTTATGCAATGCCAATGGCCCAAACAACAAAGGTGGCGGTTGCCAAAGCAACCTTAATCGTATGATTAGAACAGTGCAAGGACAGAGAAAACATAATATCATGAATGGAATTCATGGTGATATTTTTATTGAAAAGACCTTGGATCCAGCTCCAAATGTTGAGGCAATAGACAAATAAGGAAAAGATTACCAGTGGTTTCATAATCATTTTGACAAAGCTACACATAGACAACACAACATTTTGAACTTCTTCAATTGAGGAAGTTAGCATGAGAATTGATAATCTTAGGGATGACTGTATCAATAAGGTAGAATATATATACAAGTAACACATATTTTGAACTTTTTATTAGATTTTTCAGTATCTATATGGTTGAAAATCTCAACTCAATGAGAAATATTATAAGTGAATGCAACTCTCAGCGTTGTAGGATTAAATTAGACTAAAATGTCATTACAGAGACCATGCTTGTCAGGTTTCACGCCAATAACTTGTGAGCATATCTTCACATGGGATGAGACAACCAAAATAAATTTGACTTGAATTTTGTTTTTGGATTTACAATTAGTACCAGAAATTATTATCCCACTGAAGAAATTTATTAAAATGTATAGTATTCATACAATTTTTCACATGTAGGATAAAAATGGTGAGTGTACTTGCAGTATGACGGTCATATTAGTTAAAACTTTATTCTTCATAAAATTAAATGCAAGCGACATTGTACTTCTCTAAGTTTCCCCCAAGTCTTCTGCATAATATTCAATTTTGCTCAAGAAATAGCTTGATTATATAACTAGCATGTTTGTCTCATCAGAGACTTTAAAAAACATGACATTCTTTTCAAAATATTCTTTATTTTTTTAGTGAAATCCATATAAAACTCACTCAAAAATAAATGAGACTAAAACTAATTGAAAAATAGACCTACATCATAAGGCCCCACAAATGTTCATTGATACTTAAAAGAAACTATTATACATACATTATGTTAATATTTTGACACCGCGCGACACAAAAATATTCATTCACCAATTCACTTTTAAATTTTTATATTATTATTTATTTATTTTACTTCATTCTCTCTTCATCAATCAACCCCAAAAATAATATTTTAAAATTGTTTCTAAAACTGAATTGTCAAAAAACCTTTTTCCTAAAATAATTTGGTATTTTAACTTTAAATTAAAAGATAAAATAAGTTTTATAATAAAAAAGGAAAAAAATGAGAAAGGTTGGATGAGTGTTATTTTAAGTATGAAGGTGAAAATTTATCAGAACTCTAAAAAATGAGAGATAGATTTTATGCTGGATCTAAGAACAGTAGTATACTACTAATTCAGATCATGCAGAAATATCCTTCCAGTTCAACTACTTCTAACCATGACCAAATGGCATGGCCAACATGTTGTATCTGCTGCTTCCCAGTATTAGCTAGTCCAAACTGCGTTGTAAGCACTTCCTGCAGAAGCACCAAAAAGAGAAAAATGCACGCTCCCTGCGCAGGCATCACCCTGATCAGGTTCAAAGGGACTGTCTCAGCCTGATCTGGTAGCATCCTAGCTTGAAAGCCAGAGCTCATACAGATTCAGGCACCCCTGGTGCATCTCAGGTGTTAATAAAATAGCCTAAAAGATAAAGATGGTATTCAACATAATACTAGAACAATTTATTATTGAGATTTGGATAACAAAACAAAGGTTGAGTAAAGATGAAGTTCTTAAACGTTGTCTACAAGCAGAATTTATTCTCCTACTCCTACTACTTGAAAATCCATTCCCACCCTGATATGCCAGTTGGGAAGCTAGCTCCAAGTTCTTCCAAATTATTTACTCCATTTATGTAGTCCTGCAAAATAATATGCATTAGATATTTCATCTTCAACTGGCAAACAACTAGACAAGGCAAATGGTTGGCAAACATTTTCATAACAGTAAGGCATTAAGTGTGAGTAATTGCTTGAGGAGGAAAAGTACATAATTGCATGAGAAGAGAAAGTGACATGGTGCCAATGAGCTTGTAGCTCACTACGCAACAGCACCAGCCCAGGACACAGGTGTGATGAAGATGTTGTAGATCTAATCCTTAGACACTGATCCCCCTTCCCAACCAGGGGTGCTAAGCACCATCAAAGGTCAGAAGTTTCTTTTAGTTGAGACTTCAGAAGGACTAGAGCATATAATAATATTTTATTATAACATGAATTCAATTGGTAATTTGGTGTGATAGAAGTATATGATGAACAATGAAAGTGCAAATATAGTTTAGCAAAATGAAATGAGAAAAGACATATCTTATTAAAAGAACTAAAACATTTTATTCAGACTCACCTCTCCTTGGAGTTTACGTAATCTTCTGGCAAGTAAATCTCTCCACCAGCTTCACCATGTTGCTCCCCACTGATAGTTTTCTTGGCAGCTTGGAATTCAGCACTCATAGCATCCATCCCACGCTGCAAAGCTTCCTCAGCAGTTCCATAGCCATATTTCTCAGCATACTTTCTCACGTCTTCTGTTATCTTCATAGAGCAGAATTTAGGGCCACACATTGAGCAGAAATGAGCCACTTTCGCACCATCTGATGGCAAGGTTTCATCATGGAAGGACATGGCCGTCATTGGATCCAATGACAAAGCAAACTGGTCCATCCACCGAAATTCAAATCTTGCCTTACTTAATGCATCATCCCAAGCTTGAGCATGTGGATGACCTTTGGCTAAATCAGCTGCATGAGCTGCTATCTTGTAAGCTATAACTCCAGCCTTAACATCATCCCGGTTTGGCAACCCAAGGTGTTCTTTTGGGGTCACATAACAGAGAAGAGCTGTACCAAGTGCCCCAATATTTGCAGCACCGATTGCAGAGGTAATGTGGTCATAGCCAGGGGCAATGTCGGTTGTTAAAGGACCAAGAGTGTAAAAAGGTGCTTCATTACACCATTCTAACTGCTTCTGCATGTTTTCAGGAATCTTGTGCATTGGGATATGTCCAGGTCCTTCATTCATCACCTGTACAGTAACTTGAAGTACACAATAAGAACCTATCGTCGAGAGATATATGAATGGTAATATGATAATATCACATCAGATGATGATGGCTATCATATGAAATAGATAGGATCATCATATAACAATATATACGTGAAAACATAGTGTATTATATTTAGTTTCGCAAGGTGGCCACCTAGGAACTTCATTGGTCATCAAAGCAGTGGCAAATTCAACAGCAGTTATAATATACCTTTCATAATAGATTATTAGTCTATTCCTATCAAGTGAGTTGTTCTAATAATAATAAAATGTGACTAGAATTATCCCCAGAAACTTCAAATTGTTCATGCAGAAGAACTACTAAGAATGAAAAGAAACACATTAATTAGATATGCAGACATCGTGATGTCAAATTAAAAATTGATCACCTGCACATCCTTTTCCCATGCTCTACGGGTCAATTCTCCTTGTGTCAAGAGTTCAGCAAATTGAGCTGTGTCATTTGCATCATAGATGGATCCAGGTCTTAGCCCATCACCAATGGATAGGGCCACATCATACTGATTGCAGATGTCAAGTATGTCATCCCAATGCTCATAAGCAAAATTCTCTTTGTGATAAGCTAAGCACCACTTTGCATGGATAGATCCTCCTCTGGAGACAATTCCTGTCATGCGTTTTGCTGTCAATGGAATATATCTCAGAAGAACTCCTGCATGGATGGTGAAGTAATCCACACCCTGTTCAGCTTGTTCAATCAGGGTGTCCCTGAAAACCTCCCAGGTAAGATTTTCAGCAATTCCGTTAACTTTTTCAAGTGCTTGATAAATAGGTACAGTCCCAACAGGTACAGAGGAGTTGCGTAAGATCCACTCTCGAGTTTCATGGATATGGCGACCAGTTGAGAGATCCATGACTGTATCAGCTCCCCACATCGTTGCCCATTGAACCTTGTAAACTTCCTCTTCTATAGAGCTTGCAACTGCAGAATTTCCAATGTTGGCATTTACTTTCACCAAAAAGTTTCTTCCAACAATCATGGGCTCTAACTCCAAGTGTTTTTTGTTGGAAGGAATGATAGCCCGTCCTCGAGCAACTTCTGACCTCACAAACTCTGGGTCAAGCTTCTCACGAGCAGCACAATAAAGCATCTCCTCAGTGATGATTCCCTGCTTAGCATAGTACATCTGAGTGAATCTTGGTGGACCTATTTTCTGCCTCCTATCAACCCACTCTCTGCGCAATTTTGGGAGTCCTAATCATCAAATCCATGAAAACATGTCAATTAGATAGTGTATGTTTCCAAAAACTCAGTGCAAGTATAGAGATAGAAGACCAAAATTATATTCTTCAAGGATAGCACTGAATACTTCTCCATCACTGAGGCTTCGATCAAGTGATATAAGTAAAGGTAAATCAAAGGATACATACTAATGAAAATATTAATTTAGCTGAATTTCATTTCTAACTTTAGATTGCCAAACAAGAGTATGATGTTTCAATTCTACTATGCTGAATTCCATTTCTAACTTTAATTCTACCAAGAGCATGGTAGCAAGTTGGAGGACCTTGGGATTAGCATAAACTGATACTAGATTCAAAACGTAAAACAAAAAAAGAAATATCATGTGGAACAAGATTGCATATTACATGTGGCCTGTTAATGAAAAACAATAAAAGGAAATTTTGAAATGCAAGATAATCAGAATGGATTGAGGTGGCTCAGCATTTTAAGCTAGTCACAAGTAATCTGACAAGACAGATTGAACCACTTTTGATAGGCAATAGACAATAAAAGTGATTGGAGAAAAGACGGGATAATTTATTGTGTTACAGTTAATTTAGTGAAAGAAGATGTGAAAATTTACAATTATGCAATGCTTTCCGCCTAATGACCATGAAGAGGATCTGCAAATGCTGCTAGACAGACAACAACAATAGCAGTATAATAATTAAATCTAAGAATGTATTTATGAAGGAATTATAGCTGTTTCATTAACTCATGCCACAAAAAGTCATCAGCACAACATTTGTCATAAGGAAAATGAATCCACTATAGAGAGTACAGATGCATGATGTAAAAAAAATGCACAAAAATGTTAGCATTACATACCTATCCTAGGGCTTATATTTTGGGGACCACTAGTGTCGTAGGTATCAAAGTGTCCTTCATCCCCAGACAGGTGAATTCTGCGAAAGGGAACTTTGAGCACATGACCAGTTTCTTCATGAACGACTTCCCTGTGCACATGAATGGATCATAAATTAATTGTGGTAAGTAGTCCAAGGACCCCATGAGTTGTGTCCATATCCACTTTTTGAAAAAGTCTTGGAAAGCCACATTATCTGTAAATTGTAATCAAATTCTCTTAAATGTATAAACTATTAAAAAAGAAGAAAAAGAACACCTGTGTTCTTTAGTGCTTTTTGGAAAGCACTGTTCAAAAGAAGGAAGCGGAAGAAAATCAGGAGAAGCAGGGTCAACAGTGTGCTTTTGTTTGGCTTTGTCTGAATTGGTAGTTGGAGGATCAAATGTTAATGTGGCTCTAGGTACCAAGGCCATGGAAGATGGAACAAGTTCCTTCTTCCATGCATTTGAAACACGTCCAACAACATCAAACCCGGGCAAGAACGTAGAACTTGGGAATTTCGATTGAGAAGCATGGTTGCCATTCTTGCAAACAAGTGATGTCACATTAGCATGCACTGATGCCATCTTGACACAAAACTACAGTATAAATGTTTTGAAAGACAAAATGTTAGTTAAACTACAACAAACCTGCAGCGTAATGTATAAATATGTCTATGTCAATACTCAGTTATCAATAGATTCTCTGTCAAAAATATTATTTCATTTAAGAACTCTTCAAATTAGTTAGTCAATTAACTTCATAATCATGCTCTTCAGGGTGATCTTCAAATTAGAGAGCTGCTAGGAAATGGAATCTGACCCTAGGAAGCTACACTTTAAATAAAACCAGTGATATTGGTTTTTCATTATCTTTATGGAAAATGTTAAAACGAAAAAAGGATTTAACTCCTCTAATGCAATGGATGCACTTCAGAGGCTACAGTACCAAGTTATCCTCAGTGAAAAAATAAATAAATTTTTATGTGCAGTGTGCACTATGGAGCTGTTGAAAAGGTAGAATGCTGAATTATAAACATCAAAACAGATATGTAATATAAAATAAACCGTTAAAATGTGTTTTTGCGTTCCAGTTAAATTTAAAATATTTTAAATTCGTTCTAAAAAAATTGCATTATTTTTATCTTTCTAAAATTTAAACATTGTTTTAAGTTGTTGTTAGTTCGAAAAGTTGATGATTTGCTTTTAGTCCTCCAAATAAGCAATTTATTCTAGTCCTTTAAAAATTAATTGGTTTCCTTTGGCTCTTCATTTATCGAAATGTATCAAGTTGTGCTTGTCTTTCAAAAACAAAAGACCTTCCTTTATGTCCCTTTTATGGAAGAAGGAATCTAATATCATACATGTAAATCAGAAATAAATTATTTTTTTAGGGATTAAAAGCAAACATTACTCTATTAGTAAGGCCAATACGCAAACATTATTTTATGTGTAGAGACTTAAAAACATGTCAAATTTTATAATAAAAATATAAACTTGTTAAAATCTACTTGAACAAATTTTCAATTAACATTATAGGCTGAAATAGATTTTTGGTCTCTAATCTACATTTTGGCTTTAATTCGATCCCTTAATTTTAGAAAGTCCCAATATATTGTCTATGTTGACCACATTGGTCCTCAAAATTTGTCGCTGTGTTTTTAAGGTGTCCATATCTGATAAACTAACAAAATGACCAATTTGGTCAATACTGAAACTTTTTAAATTTTAGAACAAAATTGAAACCTAAAATTAGATAAGGGGCCAAAACTCTATTTACACCTAAAAATCCTTTAAAAAGTAATAATAAAATGAAAGCAAGGGGAGACGATCTTCTCCAAATATATCAATGTCATTCGTTCCAATTCTCAGACAAAAGAAGATTATTTCACCATATCCAGTACCATATATACCCTTTTCCTAAATTTATTTCAACAACCGAGCAACCCATTATGAAGAACTAACTATCCAAAAATCTAAAAAAAAAAAAAAAAGGACACACCAAAGACAATTTATTTAGAAAGAGAGAGAGAGAGAGTGAAGAGAGAGAACCTGAAGGAAAAAGGGTGGTTGTATCTGGAAAAAGGAAATGGCAGAATATGAGTTGAGGGAATGGTTGAAGACAGGGTTGGAGAGTGTTGCATTTATACAGAGTGGAAGATAGTTGTATGAACCAAAAGTGGAAGATCAATGACGTGGCTCTCGTGAATCGAGGTTAGATATTTTCAAACCAAATCTCTACTCCTTGGATGACATGTAAGCAAATAACAACACGGGCCCACCTTCTTTATAATTTGATAATTCCATAAATAAATAATTTTAAAAATAATTCATTTTTATTAATATAATAATTATAAAATATTTAATAAAAATAAACTAAAATTATTATTATTATTATAATATTAATAGTAAGTTATATTTTTTTAAACGTTGTATGATTTGAAGTCAAAATATTATTTCTGTTTCTTAAAAACTCTAAAAGACAAAAGACATTGACGCTTGTGGAACAAACTTGATACTTGTGAAACATCTCTCTTCTCTTGTCTAAAGTTGGTTTTTCAAGTCTCTCTTTGTTCCCTTGCAAAAATGTAAAATAAAAATTGACTAATATAGAGAAATAAGTAGGGAAAAAAATATTTTTTCATATTTTTTACTCATATATAAATAAATAAAATTTAAAAGTATTATTAATTTTTATGTTTATAATATATATATATATATTCTTATTTTAATAAAATGTCTACATATGAAAATATTATATTAAATAAATAATTAAATATTTTTTATTTGTTTGTAATATGGTATTATTTTATTAATTTCATTCAAATATCTTACAAAAATAATTTTATTATAAAAGTATTTTATAATTATAGATATCTATAATATTATTTTAAAGATATTTTATTAATAAAAAATTAATTAATAATTATTTTGGTAATTAAATAAGTATTTAATTCTAATTTAGTTTTTTAAAATAAATTATTTCCTTTTTTTCATGTATTTTTTCTCTCAAATATTTGTCATATATAGTTGTTAATTAGTAAAAAAAAATTAATAATTTGTAAAATAATAAATAAATCATTATTGAATTAAAAAAAATAGATATTCAAAATAATATTTCGTAATTAATTAAAGATTAAGGAAAAATACAAGTGACTCAATTAAATTATTTGTAAAGAGATTAAAAGATAATAATATATATAAATTATTTTCTTTATAAATATATAAAAAAGTGTACTGGAAAAATACTATTAATGAGTTTATTTTCTTTAGTACTAACTATATATTTATATTATTATTAGTTAAATTATATTGAAAACTATAAAATTATGTTTTAATTTTTTAAAAAGAATCATATTACATAAGAAAGAAATAATTTGTATTATACTTATTACATTTTAATAAAGTATAGTCAGTAATAATAGAAAGTTTTGAAAAATATATTAAAGGATGGGTCGTGAACATTTTTCATTTAGTTATCCGTCCCACGTTGTTTTATCGTTTGAATTTGTCCTACATGAATTAAGAAATACAATTTTAAAAAATTATAAAATTTATTGTACATTCATATATTCTTTTAGTTAATTATATAAATTTTTTTATCATAGTTTACTTAAAAATCATTATCAAGATCTCAAATAATTCTACACTTTCATCATCGTTAAAGATGAAACGTGGGGAATTATTAATTTAGTTTAAACCGAGTCTTTTGTATTATTATTACAATTTGAAAAATTATAAAATATTGACATTGACAGTATTTAATTTGATTTGAGTTAATTTAATTAGTAATACAACATCACAAATAATTAATATAATATTGAAATAATAACAATTTCGATAAAAATGTATTTCGATATGATAAATTAAATTATTAGCCAAAAATGTTCTCTGACAATAATTATAACATTATTTGCTGGCATATATTTTTTATAAGTTTAATTTTTATGTATACTTACTCGCAATATTTTATGTACCTTTTATCATATTATTTTTTTTGTCTTTTTAGTATTAATCACTTGTACAATTTAAAAAAAAATGCAATATTTAGGAAACTTGGTCAATTATCCAGTCTTTATGACAGGTTAAATTAGAGTTTTTAATACTTTTTTTATCTAATCTAACTAACTCGTCCATAATCTTAATCTTGATAGGTTAGTAATGTCACAATATATTTTAAGATAATTTTTAATTTTTAAAACATTTTTATATTTTAAAATCAGATTACATCATTATTTAATATTTGAATAATTTAATATTTATAAATACATGTTTGATTAATAAAATTTGTAAATAAATTAAATATTATTTTTATATATTTATTCATTTATTATTATTACTCTGGTTAAATATTTTTTCTTGTATTTATTTTAATTGAATCCAAATTTTCTATTTTAAAAATTAATAAATTAATCTTAAATTAAAAAATATATGAACTTAATTCTTTAATTAGAAAAATATCATTAATTGTTAAATTCAATTATAAAGAAAAATATAAATCACATTTAATTCTTTTATTAAGATTATGAAAAATAATAAAATTATATATTTTTAAAATTGACAACAAATTAAACTAACTAAATTCATTTTTTTTTCGTTTCAAAATCCATCTATTATCCCAAATTGATTTAAAAATATAAAATTAAAGATAAATTAAAAATATTTTTTTTATTATTTTAAACCCTTAAGTCAGAATAAGTTAAATGATGTAAACAAAGAAAAAATGTATCCTATTTTGCTTCAACGGTCACCAAATTTAGTATGAATTTGATAGCTCGGGCGTTTCAAATCAGAAACATATTTTATTATTTTGATGGGTATATACATAAGGTTTTAAAATTATAAAAAATGATTTTAATTTGAAGATGATACGGAGTGAATGAAAGAGAAGACAGGGTGGTGCTCACATGGATGCCTGCTGCACTTGTCTCATCTCACCCTTAGCGACACGATTAAACTTGTGGGAACCCCCCTATTCTGTCTTCGAGTTTGTCTCCAAAAAAATTGAGTTGATTAAATATATATAAAACAAATTTTTTCATCTAAAAAAAAAAATTGAGAGATGATGACATCACCGAGGTGAATAATATAATTCTCATTCTAATATTATCTCAAATTTATATTTAAATTTAAAATTTAAAATATTAATATTTTAAATATATTTTTTTCTATTATAAAAGATTTTTTTATATTTTTTTTTCATTTTTTATCTTTTTTAATTTTTTATATAAATTAATTTATTATATTATTCTCTCTCTTTTTTCTTTTTTTTTCACATTTCTTAATCTCTCCAATCAATTTTTTTTTATCTTTTCAACTAATTTAATAAATATAAACTTTTTTTATCTTTTTCTAAATATTTTACATAAATTTTAATAATAATTAATATTATTTTATTTGTAATTTATATTTATTAAATTTTATTATATCATATTTTTTATCTTATTATTCTTATTTATCATATATCAAATTTTATTTTAATAAACTAATTATATTTTAAAAGATTAAAAATATTTAATAATTTAAACTTTTATTACTTCAAACTAACTAAATAAAAATTAAATTATTAAATATTTTCTTATAATTATATATTTCATATTTTTAAATAATAACTTAAAAATAAATTAACTTATATATAATCAAATATTTAAATATAATATAATATTAATATTAATATAAATATTCAAATATTTAAATATAATGTTATAATAATATTAAAAATATTCTATATATATATACAAATGATTAAATATTTTTTTACACACATATTTTAATATAAATATAATAAATTAAAATATATATTTAATTAATAATAATTACAAATTATAAAATTATATCTTTTTATTTATATATAAAAAATAAATAATAAAATTAATTTATTATAAATATAATTATATTTTTAAAAATAATATAAATAAAAAATGGAATGAAAAAAATAACTGGGACAAAAATAAAAACCTAATTTTTAACTCCAAAAAAAGATCTAGAACGGTTAAAACAGTCATGAATAAGAATAGAAAAGACAAAACCCGCTTCCACATGTTACCATGCCACCTTATTGCATTAGTTTAGAGAGATCTTATAAGATTTAATTATTAAAAAAAGAACTAAATATTTAATTAGAAGGACTCTTACCTTATGTTTGAATATGACGTGAAATTATTATTTTTTCAAAATAATGTGAAGCAAAAATATTTTTTAATTAATTTTCATTCATGTAGATTAAATAATAGTAAAGGTTTTCTTAGTTAACCTCAATAATATTTTTTTTATCGATATGTACCTAAGTTTTGGTTAATATTATTTGATATTGTTTTTAATGACATCGGTTGCACATAATTATTTTTTGACCGATGTTAATAAGCTGTGTTGTTGATAAATTCACTTATGATTAAAATTATTTATCGCTTAACATCAATCAGAGTTTTCAGCGTTAATGTTGGTAAGACTATTGACTATTCTTAAACCGATGCTAAAGTTGATCTCAAAAAAATATTCAAACAATATGAAACGAAAAATATCAACTGAATTATTAAAAAAATGTATTTAATAAAATTCAATAAATTTAAAAGATCTTATTCAAACAAAATATTTGAGAAATAAAATAATTTGAATTGTAAATTTCTCAAACCTTTTGTGTAGTGGAAAGGCGCGAGAGCATGACTGACATGAAATGACGTCTTAAACATAAACATTTAGCAGGTCATATGCTCCAACCAAAACCTGAACAGATATTTTAAGGCTTGCTTCAAAATATCAATAATCTTACTAAAGAATACAAAATCATCACTATCATTCATGCCTGGAAAAATGGACCAGGTACAAAATAGTAAATTCGTTTATTATCCAAAGGTCAATCAATGTTAATACGCTACCCCCATTGCAGTTGATTATGATTTATGGGCCAGTCCTGCTTTATTTTATGCACTTTGTTAAATTGTCACTAGCAATTCTGACTAAGATATTTTGGAGTAACACATACCAGAGCCCTTAATATTCAACAGAATTACTGTACAGAAACAATTACATTCGCAGGAAATCACATGTGACCACAATAATTGTCAGTGTAAAAACAAATTCATCTAACAACATTTATGTAATAAATGTGGTACCTGTGAAGACGCACTGACGCGTAAATTTGCACCTTCCCATGTCCCATTTGAAGTTTAGTTGAGTGAATTATAACACGAATAACAGGCTGGCAGCTTGTTAAAAATGATGCCAAGATTCACCTTACAGGAATGTACAAAGTTGTAAAGGTGAACAAATGCTATTTGAGATATAACTTCACTGACTTCAGGAAAATGATGTCAAATCATACTCCAATTTACAGTCCACATAATTTGCATAACAGAAAGCTCTCAACTATCAGGAACCTGTCTACGATGGGAGGAGAGGGTGTTGTGTACCTCTGACAAAGGTAGCAAGCTCTGTTGGTGCTACCACCATTCTTAACCACTTCTGTAGCTCTTCACCCTCAACTTTCTCCTTTTCTGAAAAATAAGCACCACTAGAACATGAGAAATAAGCCAGAACCACGTGTCTCAACATCAGTATCATATACATCAATGGAAGCAAATGCTAACATCCCAAAATAATTAAAATCCATTCACATGACCAATGTATTGAATAACAAACTCCACGTGGAATGGTGTTATAAGCCCAAATCTAATCTCCACTCCAACTTGATTGGTTATACAACTTCTAACTCCAAATCTAACTGATGGTGTAATGACACATGTAAAGATACAGGTAAGATGAGCATTTGTTCACACATCAGACCAAACAACTAATGCTAGGGGGCATGTAACATTGATTGAAATAGGCCAGAGAACACACTGCTAAATCACCTAACATTAAAACAGTAAGCATAATTACCTTGCAAATCAGCACCAAGACCCTCCAAAACAGTAGGATTAGCTCGGATAATGCAAAGTGCTACAGCCAGGGCAGACTGCAGTAATGTTTGCACCTCTTTTTGAACAAGATCAACAAGATGTCCCTGTTGAGTTCATACTAAAATTAGCATATGCAAGAAATTGAATGGAAAGAAAAAAAGAAGTTACACAACTACACGACCTGATCCCTTCCCCAAGGAACTGATCCCCCAGACTCATCAATCCCACCACTAGAAAGAGTGGCTAACGAAACAGGGCCTATGGTCTGATTAAGACCATATTCAGCTATAGCCTTGTATGCCATGTCAGTTGCTCGTCGTATGTCATCAAGTGCTCCTGTTGATACTCGACCAGAAAAAACAACTTCTTCAGCTGCACGTCCTCCAAGAAGGGTCACCAGACGACCATGCAACTCGTCGACAAATAGCAAGTATCTATCCTCAGTTGTTGGAGGGATATAAGTAAATCCCAAAGCCCCTCCAGACCTTGGCAATATACTTAGTTTCTGATGACAAACAAGATATTAAGGTATTGAATCATCCTTAAAGTATTTAAGGATTAATGAAGAGCAACAAACAGATTTCCAAGATACAAATTAACAACATAAGTAGACTGCAAATTTTAAGAGTAACTTCTACAACTGTGAGTATTCATTTAGGAATAGTATGATGGTCAATACAAAATTGAAGCACAAACCAAGCTTAATGGAGCATACAGTATATACAGTACTTTGCTTCCAGAAATCTACTATCTCAGATTTCACACTTACACCTTGTTTTTATTCATCAGATATCACTCCAGAACCTTATACATTATTCACCAAAACAGCTAAATTTTCAAACGTCAACAATGCACAAATGAAAGTAAAAATTAATTCATCCACCTCATCTCTCATACCCAACCCCATAAAGATAAGCAAAAACAATTTCTAGTCAAAGGCTAATAAACAAAGAATCTCAAAAGCACAGCCAATGTGCGTAATACAAGCTAAATCTGCATATTTGTAATGGTCGTGACATCTTTTAGTTACCACACCAGTAATAGAGCATCTTCAACCATTTACCTCGACTTGTGGCTGTCCAGGAAGAAGCTTTGCAACTGCAGTACCTACTACAGCATGGCCAGCCTCATGTCTTGCAACTACAGCCTTTTCATTTCCTCGTAACTTGGCAGTCTTCTTCTCTATGCCCTGAAAAAACAAATAATTTGGTTCATATTTAACACAACCTATTGCAGATCTGAAATTTTAAATTTAATGTTCATTTGACAGCTAGAAAAATCCTACCAAACTACATGTGGTAACAGTTAAGTATGTAAAAATTAGATACATAAAATCCAAGAACATTAAAAGAACCAAAGGTCATCAAGAGAGTCCATGTTGGTTATCACTTGAATACAAGTTAGACTACTTTTATCCATATCATACAACTATGTCAGTAGGGCAGTACCAACTACTTAAAGAGAATTATAGACCATCGTAAGAAAGTTTGACTTACAGCTATAGATCTTTCTACAGCTTGGATGAAATCAAGCTTTTCCACCACAATTTTATTTTGTCTTCCAGCCAATAAAGCAGCTTCATTTACTAGGTTTGCAAGATCTGCTCTGTAACAGGGAAGCAAGCATGGTAGTTAAAATCAGGATTTGTACCTTCTGGAAGTGAAAATTGCAAATATAATAGCAAAATTTAACAAAACACTAATATTTGTAATGTCATGCATCATATTCACAAGTCATAACCCATAAAAGTAGTAAAATACTTAACTCTGAAACACAAGTACACAACACATCAAGTTTTTGACAAGTTATAAATAACAAGGGAAAAAACTTGAACACCACAAGCAACTACTAATATTCTAATCCAAGAGTCTAGATGTCAATTTAACAAGTATGCCACATTACAATCAAAAGGAACCAACATTTGATCCTCATCTTCAGCTCTATTAAATGGGAACCAGGTAACAGAAAAAAATTGAAGGCTGAGAAGAGAGCAAGAGAGAAAAAGAAAAATAGAACAAAGTACATAGACAAAAAAGGGGGCTGATCAGAGAATAGAACTTCGAACAGCAATGGTGAGTAAAAGCTGCTTGGATAGAGAAGAATGGAAGTTCAGTTTTCATTGTTTCCAATGCTTCATGAAGAAACATCTCAATGTTAGGGTTCCCCAATGCAACACATCAAAAGCAGATTTGAACAGTGTTGAACTAAATTGGGAATCACTAACTTTTAAAGGAGGTAAAACATCATGTAAAAAACTTCATAGCATTGTATGACTTGAATCACACGCTTTTAGTGATTTTATGACTTGAATTCCGGTTCTGTTGGTCATTTGAATCTTTCACAGGGATTAAAATGTGACTTTTTTACTAGCATTGTAACAAGTACAACAACAATATTTTTATCCTACTAAGTGAGGTAATGATGAAGAAGTTCCCAACTAAAATTTCAATCTCTATATTTTCCAAAAAGGAATAGTAGGTGGGAGAAGCATACTGACCCAGTAAAACCAGTGGTCATACAAGCAATGTCACCAAGGTCAACATCCTTGGCTAAAGGAAGTTCCTTCTTGGAAACATGAACTTTTAGGATGGCCTCTCTTCCAATCCTATCAGGTGTTTCTACCTAGAATTATGGGAAGTTTGTTAAAGATGTATATAATGTTGATAATCGTCAATTAATATCAAAGTTAAAACCATAGGATGTAATGGAATACAGACCATAACTACACGATCAAATCTTCCTGGCCGACGAAGTGCAGGGTCCAAGACATCTGACCTATTAGTAGCTCCAAGAACAATCACTGCAGAATTGCTGTCAAACCCGTCCATCTCCTGTGTTCCCATTTTAACAAATTAATCTAATTAGAGTAGTTTTACTTGTATTTTTCTTTACATACACAAAAAAACAAAAAGCATTAAAGGAATGCTGACAGTAAGCAACTGATTTAAGGTTTGCTCTCGTTCATCATTGCTAATCATGCGGAATTTTCCATCACGGCTTTTAGCCACAGCATCTATCTGCATACCAAAAAAATGAAGATAGGGTTATTAGTAGGCATGTTTAGGATATCTGCAAAAATTAAATTGTTTCAATAATCAATTATTGTTATAACCATATATAATTCAAATAACTTTTATTTGGGTAAGTCAGCCAAAAAGTGATTTTAAGATAATCAATTTCATTTGGATACAACAAAACCATTTTTTTCACAAGAAAAAAAAATGTATAAAGCTGAAAAGGAAAAGAAACTGTTGAGAAATAATCATAAGTAACAAATTTACATGTTCATAAAATTAGTGTTTCGAAAAAAAAGAAAAAAACAAGCTAAACCCAACAAATGAAATTGCCAAATTGGAAACAACTTTTCTTTCCCAAAATTGGCTGAAATCTTTAATTAACATTTCCCAAACAAGTTGAACGAAATGATCCCCACACAACAAAAGAATTTATATTTTCATACCTCATCAATAAAGATTATGGCCGGAGCTTCCCTTTTTGCCCTTGCAAATAGATCTCTAACACGAGAGGCACCCATACCAACATACAATTCTACGAACTCACTGGCAGAACAACTTATAAATGGCACATCAGCTTCCCCAGCCACAGCCTTTGCTAGTAAAGTCTTACCTGTGCCAGGAAGACCCACCTGTAAGATAACCAATGGATATTCACTGCCTAGATATCAATCTAAATCGTCATACATGCTGAAAAGGCAGAAGTGAAAACTATAAAGCGTTTATGCCCAACAACAAGACTTCCTATGCCATGCACAACACCATAGTGATCCTCTATATTGCAAGTTAATTATCACTTAAATTTGAGAAAAAGGATGATCGGAGGTATAATGGATTGGGATTTTAGAAAAAATTTTAATAAAAAATTCTTATGGTATTCAATTAAGACTTTTAAATAATAAAAACAAGTATTGTGGCATTCAATTTCAAGTATCAGAATATTTAAGGAGGACAACAAAATTCAGTGATGTTAGATTAAATGAATTTAGAACTCATAAATGTCTTCCTATTATTCAGCAATATACAAATTTCAATAGATTATGGTTAATAATGGATTTTATGTGATTTTTAATAGGATGTATAAATATCACACTCATCCACAATCCCACTAATACTCTTGACCCTTACCTAGACACTTACTTTCTTTTCCTACTAGTTGTCAGTTTTCTTTCTCCCATAACACATAGTCTTCTCTTTTCATTGAAGACAGTATAATTGTTGTTCGGAATGATTTTCAGCTAAACTAGCAGACAAATTTTCATCTTGATTATTGCCAGATAATGAAATTGAACTTATTATCATACCCAAGAACAAGAATGAGAATGTATAGAGGACTAGTATAGCTTTCGAATGAGGACAAATGTTTCTTAGAAGGACATAATACAAAAATCTATTAGCTAATGAAAGATTAAAAAATTTGTATTGGTTTTATTTTTCTTTATCTAAACCTTATAATTTCTTCATTATGTTTTCATTGACTCTAGTAATATTGAATGTTTTCTAAAAATCCATGGAATCTTTTCAAATCATTTTAAATTCTTACAAGGTAAATCCATTAAAATTTAAACTAAAAGATCCTGATTATAAAAATCCTAACCTTTTAAGTCATAACATTCCTACATAGCCTTTGAAAATACACAAGAGATTTTTATGCAAAAATAGTCTTTTAAAATCTCAATCTAATACACTCCCTCAGTGGAACGAAGAAGGCAACTGCTGGATTTTTGCCCAAGAATTCTTCCCATAGAAAATTTGACATATGTGACCCATTTTCAGACAATTATTCACAACTACAGTGTTGGTTAATACAACCTATGGTTTCATCCTGGTAAATAAGCATAAACCTTCGGATACTCTAGCTAGAACTTACCAAGAGAACACCACGAGGTGGGCGAGCACCAAGCCTTATGTATTTGTCTGGGTTTCTAAGAAATTCCTGGCAAGTGGACATCAGAATACTCAAAATAAAAAACCTTGTATCACCAGAAAAACTAAAGAAGAGAGTATAAGATTAAGCTGCACAATAAGAAAACCTTAACCATACGGACTGTAATTGGTAAAAATGATTAAAGAGTCCAGCTTACCACAATCTCTTCTAACTCCTCTTTAGCTTCATCAACACCAGCAATATCAGCAAAAGTTACTGCTTCACCTTGTTCAGATGACTTCGTATTGGAAATGCCTGATTTGCGGTTCCGAATCTGACCGGCTTTATGCTGTGCAACAAACAATTATTAAGAAAAAAAAAATATCATTTTAAAGCTGTTGGAAACATAAGTTGTATCAGGAGATCCAAGGCATTAAGATTGGCAGAATGCAAACTCACACCTGAGAAAAGCTTACAGGGAATCTATGGAGAAGCCCTGCAAGCACAGCAGCATAAAACAAGGCTATCTGTGAATATGAGAATGAAGTCAGTATGCCATGTGTGATGTGTCATCATTATGGAATCTACCTCGAAAACCAAGGAAATTAATAACTAATTTGAATAAGTGAATATTTTTGAACCAGTGATACATTATTGAGTTGATAATGGGATACTAGTGAAAACGAAAATAATCCGGTAATGGACTACAAATACAATATTATATACTAAACAAATTTCAAATGGTTTTTTTTTTCATGTTATTTTGTGCAGATTGTTCTCATGAATCCAATATAAAAGTTGCTGTTATTAGATGATCAAGGTAATTCAATGCTTTAAGAAATTAATACTCCAAATACGCTATCGTGTCTTTCCGAAAATTATCCTTCTAAACTCGTATGATGATTTATAAAGGATGGGAGCTGCATCCACAACTCTAACTGCTTTTCAAGAAGATTTATAAAGTAATAATGCTAGTTCTACTTTGATTCTCAAACTTCATAAATCACTAAAATCTGACACAGAATACAAGTGCTGCCACATGCTTACCAATGCAGAGTTAAAGAATCCACCAGACCGCTTATCGGGGGACCCAAACTCCACCTTATTGTCCAGCATCTTTTCATAGGGAGTTCTGATATCACTTGGCCTTGTGGTAGTGTAAACTATCCTCTTAGTCGGTGCAACACTCTTCACCAAAGATTCTGATTCCTGCAACCTAGTATTGCTACTACTACTACCACAACTATTCCCTGCAACAACATCACCACCACCATCATGAGTTGTTCCAACACCAGCCTTCAACTTGAACATGATGTGGACCCCATCAACCTCCACCTTCTGCACCTGGTCACTATTGATCCTACTCAAAAATTCACTATAAGGCACACTCACAAACACTGTCGGAGACTTAGGATCCGACCCGGGCAATGGGATTCCGGGTCGGAGCAACCGCATGACGAAGAACCCAATCCCTATTTGCAAAAGCAGAATCCCTATTTCCTGAACCTGAATCAGTGGCTGCCAACGCCACCGGCGCCACCGCGACCACCACCCTCCCTTTCTCCGGTTCGAACCAGCGTCGTCCTCGCCGGTCTTCTCCTCGCCGGAATCCGCCGCGGAATCGGGTTCTCCAGCAGAACGGCACGCCCAAGATGATCGGTGTCGACCCCACAAACCGTTCCTAAGCGATTCGTTGGGCAGAGTTGGGCATCGGAAACGACGGAGGGCGTCATCCAGGGAGGGAAGGGAAACCCTATAATTTGCGCGGGAAAATGATTGGTAGGGTTTCAATTTGGTGTGCGTTAAAGCAGAGAAATAGTGATAGTGATACTCTAAAGGTAACATTCGAAGCGAGTGAGTGAGACCCAGAAACGAAATATCGGAACTTACGTTCGTATGGAGTTTGAAGAGTCGCAACAATGGTGGATAAAGAAGAAAGATAGAAAGAGAGACCAGGTTATTTCAAAGAAAATGACAACCGTTGGATTGAGGTAAGGCTCGGAGATCTGAACCATCGATTTCATTTTGTTTTGGCACACTAGTCAATGGTCAATAATATTCTCCATAACATATTGTCTCCTGCATTTTTATTTTTTATTTTTTATTTTTTATTTCTCGGTTTCAAACATATGCCATGGACTATGCAATAGATTACTATTTCTTTTAATAATTTATTAACTTGCGTTCCTTATATTGTCAAGAAATAAAATAAAATCGTGTGTTCTTTATTTTATAAATAAAATACATTATGTCATTCTAAATCAATAAAAAATATATACTCTTTGGTAGATAATGTATATTTTATCAAACATAATGTATATTTTACTTTGCATCCCAAAACATTCAGATTCATCATCACATCATAAGCATTCATAAATACTCATTAATACAAAAAAAAAAAAACTATAAAAATTAAAACAATTTTTTTTAAGAAATTATATTTATACTAACTAATATAATTTAGAACATCTATGCAATTTAAAATTGATGACTAGTTTTGTAATTGCAATTTTTTCTTGTTTAAGATTGATTTTCAAATTTGCTTTCTTCCATTGTTTCCAAATTTTGACCCACATTAATTTAATTATGAAATTTTGATTCACGTGTTAGCTTCACATTTTCACATTTAATGTTAACGAGTCACTTTATTGTACATTCACATTAATATATCATTATATTGCTACATTAATTTTTCTTATTGAATATACTAAATTAATAAATGTAAAAATATTCCATATTAAAATTTTCGGGAGATTAAACTCGTGTAAATTGAAAAATTAACAGTTTGTTTGCATATATTTTAAAAAATAGTTTTTAAAAATTAAAATTGTTTCATAATTGTTTTATTAAAACAATTTTAAAAAAATATTTTTAGTTTTAGTTTTTAAAAATTAAAAACAAATAATAATTAATAAAAAATTATTTTTATTTTTATTTTTTTAGTAACATTTGTCCTTTTACTAGTGATATTTATTTATTGTCATGAAATTGTTAGAGTTATATTTCAGTTTTTTCTCGATTCTTTGTCTAATAAATATCATCATTTTCTATTTAAAATAATTTTCAAATTAGAGTTATAAAAATAAAAAAAATAACGTATTCTAAAAACACTTCTTTAAAATTTGTATTTAAAAATTAAAATCAAACCTAAATCAATAAAACTATAAATCTTTTAATTTTTATTTTGTTCTTTTCTTTGTTTTGTGCCTAAGTTTAAGAAAAAAAAGTGACATTGCTAGTGTCATGTGCACAACTTGAACAAATTAAAAAAATTGTAAATTTCACTTATATTATGCTAAAAATAAAATTAAATAATATAAGTAAAGTTTTTTATGTGTAAAGTTAGACGATAAGTCATAATTTTTAAATTAATCCATGTTTAATAAAGTTATTATATCGATTTATTTAGATTTTCAAAATTATATTTTGAATAAGATTTTATTTTTGGTGTGAATCTCACACGCATTTATTTATTTATTTATTTATATAACTTTGATAAAATAATTTTTTAATTATTAATATTTTTCAAAAAATATAATACTTTATTTGAGTAGTAAGACTTGTCACACTAAAATTTTATTATTTTTTTATCTAATATATTTCTTTTATACATGATAAGAAGAACTCCTAAATAAAAGGATCTTTGAATTTTTCATCCAACGAAAAGTTTTCTTAAAAAAGACAAACTAAATTTTCATAATCATCCATTTTTTAAGGAAAAGCAAACATTTGTTAATTATTACCTATTATTTAGGATGTTGTTAACCTTGATTATCTTTTTTACTTATTCAGTTATTCACTTTTTTGCATGGTTTCCATATGTACAAAATCTTTCATGCTAATTTTTTGTTAGCCTTCTTTGTTCTCCTAGTTTGTTATATATATTTTTTTCTCAAGAAAAATTTCACATTTTCATTGAATACTTCTTGAATGAGATTTGTTTTATGTCACCAATTATTGTAACAATCATGGTTACTTTCTTGAAACTGTAAATGATAAAGTCTTCCTAATCTAAATTTTTCAATGTTGAATTGTGACAAATATATTCACCCATTAGTTTGAAAACATTTTGGTTCTTTGTGCAAAAAATATGGGTTTGGATATAAAGGGCATTCAATTTTGTTTTTTTAAAGTAATCTATGATTCAACAAAGTCAAGCTATACATTCATGCAAAGGCATCCAATAATTTCTGGTGTTTTATTGGTTTGCTTAATTCTATATATATTCCTTTCTTATATTTACAATTTTTTGGTTTACATGTCCCCTTTTGTTGTGTGTGGTATTATTTTCATAAAAGTATTTTGGAGTTCTGAGCAAACTCAACTCAAGTATGTCAAATTAAAGGATGAGAAAGAAGAACAAAAGAAGGTTGAATCAAAATGTCCGAAGATACTAAAGTACAGGAGACCAGATATACTTTATAAGTATCCATCACATAATGCCACAAGTAGAAGGAGAAACTTTAGTGATAAGAATTGGGATGTGTATGGTGGTTTAGAAGAAAAGGCTAAGGATTTATCAGCAGTTTTTCATAATGAGTTCACTAAAAAAAACATAGAGAACGAATGGGGAAAATACTTTGAAAAGGGAGAAAGTTCTTTGGAAAATAAATTATATGCAAAAAATGCTCAAGTTCCTAAGCGGCAAACCTTGAGATCTGAACCTTCAATGATTGACTTGGTGGAATGTGGTGATTTGGAGTTAGAGAGAAAGTTAGAGGATGGAGATGAGGAGGAAGAAACACAAGAGGATAGGAATAAAGCTATAGAATGGACAGAAGATGATCAAAAAAACCTAATGTATCTTGGCATTTCTGAAATGGAGAGAAACAAAAGGTTGGAGAGTCTTATTGCTAGAAGAAAGGCAAAAAGGTTATCTAAGGTTCAACTTGATAAGAGATTAAATAATAAAAAACCAATGGCACCAGTACTTATTAAAAGAAGCGATCCTGTAAATACTTCAAAAGAGTTTGAAGATGTCGTAGAAATGCCCGGTTCTGCCCCTTCTGTATTGCCAAAAAGTCCTTATGATATTCCTTATGATCCTTCTGAGGAGAAGCTTAACCTTAGAGGGGACAATTTACCTCAAGAGTTCTCTAATCAAAAAGACATGTCATTTTGCAGGCATGAAAGTTTTAGTTTGGATCACCCTTTCCCATCAGAAATCAAACAAGATTCCGGTTTTAAAGAGCAATATTTTCTTAACAGAGGAAGAAAACATTCTGACAGATTTGCATATTCAAGATTCAGAAGAAATCAAACAGGTAACATTCTCATTTTCTCCTTGTCATTTTTTCTTCCTTCTCCCTTTTTCTGTAACACTTTTAAAATCTTAAACATAATTATGAAAAATGATCTATGATATTCTTAAGAGATCTTTTTAGCTATTTTCAAAAAACTATAGTTAATATGATATTGAACAAGTGATTTATTAAGTTTTTTATCCATTGTATCCAAATAAAAAAAATTATAGTGAAAGTTGATTAAGCAAACTAAATGTATTTTACTCATGCAGATAAAGGAACTCATGATTGGCTAATTGACCAGTTGATTTACAATGAAGGTGGAGAAAGTGAATTACAATCATCCAATTTATTAATAAAGGGAGAAGAATCAACACATGAAGAGGATGAAAAATGTAAAATTGGTATGAATGACATGAAAGGTGAGAAAGTAGAGTTTGAAACAAAATTTATGTCAAATCAAACAAGTGAACTAAGACCAGAGAAATCAGGACGATGGTCTAAGTTTCCTAAGCCTCATGAAAGGGTTTTCAGTTTACCAGTATCTAATAGTAGCACCAATGCTACTACTACTGATATAAATGAGATTTTATATGAGACTGTCACATCAGTAATTGATAAAAGACAAGAAAATATGGTTTTAACTAGTGGTAGACTTTGCCATACCCCAACATATTCTGTGGCTTCTGACTTACAAGTAGAGGTTTCTGAAATTGGTTCACCAACATCAACTGTTGGTGAAAATGTTGAGACTAATTCATCCACTGATAGAGACTCTGTATTGTATGATGGGGACATTGATAGAGACATTAGTTCTGGTAGTGAAGATTTATGGGGTGCCTCTTTCCATGGAGTAAAAGAAGCACAAGGAGATAAAAATGAGGGGAATAATGTAGAAATAAACAAATCCTCAAAGGGTGTTGCTTCACCCCTTGCTCCACGTCATATAGATGAAGAAAATACATCTAATATGATATCATTATCCTCAAAATCTGATGTGCCTAAAGATACTACTTTATCCCATGTAATAGATAGTCATAATGTCATCTTTGATTCTATGAAACATCTTGTGGGGGAAATTGAAACATCACAATCTTCTAATTCTTCTGGTGCTCATCAACAATTTCAAAACAAAATACACTCAGAACACCAAGAGGTTAGTCATTTTGGTGTCTTTTTTAATAAAATTGTTAATGAATTTGTTCTTTGTAAATTTGTATACTATAACAAAATATGCCAGTTATATTTGTAAACATCAATCACTATATTTTACTTGTTTACTTCATTAGGAAGATATGAAGGAAAGATAATAGTATTTTTCTCATTTTTTATATTTTTAGGAACGGTGCAACATGCCAGAAAATTTAGCAAATGAGACACAGGTTATCAATGATATGAATAATTTAGCAACCATCAATCAAAATAACATAGAGAACTCAAGAAATAATGAAGATCATAGCACATCAGTAATACGACAAGAATCAATTGATGGTACTTCCATTTATTCAACTTCATCCTCACCAAGGTCTGTATTACCTGAGAAAACATTGGTAGATGAATTTTTATTGTCAAATTTTGACCAACACATGCATATAGATGGTCAACAATCTATTGTGGAAGGTGTAAACCAAGAAATTTTAGATAATGAAGTTCCACCTCACACTCAAACTAGTCAATCAATGGTGGATAATATAATAGATGAAATTTCATTGTCAAATTTTGATCGACACATGCAAATAGAGCCTCAACAAGCTATTAACGAGGGTATGACCCATGAAAGTTTGAACAGTGAAATTTCAACTGACATCATACCTCAAAATATGAAACCAATGATGGATGATTTAATAGATGGAATTTCATCGTCAAACTTTAATCAACACAAGTATTTAGAGCTTCAACAATCAATTGTGGAAGATACGACACTAGGCAATGAAACTCCACATGACATGTCTCAAACTTCACCAATAATAGATATAACTGATGAATCACATAATGTTGACTTCAATCATTCACAGGTATGTATACACAACTTAATAAGTTATTCTCAATGTTAAAGTCTTCTTGTCATAAATCCATTAGATTAAATTAACAAGATGATATGATATTGATTTTACTTGATATCTTAATTACTCAAATATTTATATACTTATCATATTCACATCTAAATAATAGAAATTGTAACTTTCATGTAACCAAGAGTCTATATATTTTCTATAAATATTTTTGGTTTTCAATTTTTTTATTTTTTATAAGTAATAATAATTTTTTTATTATTTGCATTCTATTTTACTTTAAAATATAAATAAAATAACATTTTATAATCATTTGCAAAACTAAGAATTGAAAGTATTTTTTTTCAAACTACACAAAACTTATAAACAAATCTCAATAGGATATATGTTCAATTTTATTAAATATGTTTAGCAAAGTTCAATTTTCTAGTCATGGAAAACAAAAATCCTTTATTATATCTCTTTAGATTATTTAGCCTTTAATTGTGGTTGAAATTATCCTTACTACATAAAATAAAAATCGATTAAGTTTTCTCTCTAAAATGAAATAAGAAAAGTTTAAAACTTTATTTTGCATACCATGTATGACATTGACTAGGAGTAAATTAATCCCTTCAAGAATTTCAAGAATTATCAATTATCCTTGACAATATGAATAATGATTTATACAATAAAGAAAAACATGGCAAGTTAAAGAATGATGAGATTAATGAGGACAATTTCCACCCATTCAAAAATAAAATTTATTAAAATTAACCTACCAACAAGTAAGACAACAATAATAGAGGAAATGAAAAAAAAAAAAAAAGTTAAGAGATTCAATTGATGACAAAGTAAAATTGTATTCTTTAACATTGATATATGTTTTATATATTATGTTACCTCACATTAGGTAACACATTTGTATTATTATTATTTTTTTTGTAGATTGAGCAAATGCCATCAACAATTATTAAAGATGATAACAATGACAAACCATCAAGTAGTAATAATGTCCACAAAGAGTTATCAAGACAAAGGGTCACTGTGTCAAAGGTTCAAAATAGAGATTCAGGTTACTTATCTGATATATTTGATTAATTATAATAATAAATTTTAGGGATGCTAGCAAATATTAGAGAACTTAATTTACCATAATTATATATGTTTCCTTATTTATCTTAGTCTCTTTTGTGTAACACTAGGATAATCATTAAGGTAAACAAGATGCATATTAAAATTGTGAAAATATATATTTAATTTTTTTCATGATATAATTTTTTTTATTTTACTCCATTTATTCTTGGTTAGTTTATCAATAATTAAATATTATTCTAATTATAAATTTCACTTCCTAACCCTTAATTAATGTGATATTTTATAAAGTGATTCATTTTAAGAAAAGCATAAGATTTAAAAAAATCTTACTAATTATGATAAAATTAAAAAATGTAGTAAATAACTTATAAGAATGGGACATGATGTTATAAGTTTTATTATTATGTTTAATATTTTACATAAATTATATAAGACTTTAAATTTAAACCAGGATCCATATCTTAAGGAAAAACATTTTAAAGGATGGAAAATAGATGAATTTTTTATTTAACATTGTTTGTTGAATATAAGGTTTCAACATTATATTATCTGTCAGACACAAAAAATAATACTATAAAAAACATGATATGTAAACATTTGTTCTCATCTTGTATTTCTAAAAGACATTATTTTAGTCAATCAATCTAATCCTTAAACTTAATTTGGAATTAAATTTTAAATCTGAATGATATTTTTTTCTTATTTAGTGACACTCATGTCATAATTAAAATAAAGTTAGATTTATTTGAAAGTATAAAATAGTTGGTTCCAATTCATGTTTTGCAACTTATATATTTATTGAACAACTTCTATAATGATAAGAGTTAGTCCACATCTGCAATGATCAATTTGTCCCTTTAATTTGAGGAACAAAAAAAATTGAATTCCTTGAAGACTGATACATGTTCAAATTTTGTTCATTTGAAAAAGTTGTCGCAGATACGAGTAACGTAATCCTCACTTTAACTCCGTTTTCGTTCTAGTCTTAATTTTAGATTTAAATCTAAATCTAAAATATTAATTTTATTATGTTTTTTATTTTTTAAATTATATATAAATTAATTTATTTTATATCTTTTATTTTTTTCCTACTTAATTTTTATTTTTTTATCTCTTATAATCTCTTCAATTAATTCATTCATTGTATTATTTATATTCTTTCACTTTTTACTCTTTCATATTTTCTTAATCTCTTCAATTAATTTTGTTTTTTCAATCTTTTCAACAAATTAAAAAAAATAAAGATAAATTTTCTTTGTAGTACTAGGATTATTTTATTTTTAATTTACATTTATTAAGTTTTATTATATCTTTTTTAAATTTTACTATTTATATTTGAAATATATCAAATTTTATCTTAATAAAATAATTATATTTTAAATGTTTAAAATAATTTAATATTTAAAAATTTTATTATTTTAAAAATTAACTTATTAATTTTTTTAAATTATATATTTCATATTTGTTAATATTATAATAAATTGAAAATAATTAATTTATACATATAATTAAATGTTTGAATATAATATAATATAATAATAATATAAGTATTATATATTTGAATTAAAAATAATTAAATATTTATTTTATATATGTATTTTAATATAAATATAATAAATTAAAGTATATATTTAATTAATAATAATGATAAAATTATAAGATTATAAAATAAATTAAAAAATGTATAAAATAATATTAACATTAATTTATTATAAATATAAATTTTTTAAATAATAAATAATGGGATGAATTAAGGTGGAGAAACCTGAAATGCAATAAAAGCTAATAAATAAAGACTTATTACTGTTTTGCATGCCTTATTCTATTAGTTATAAGATAAAATTCAACAACATATTGAAATCTATCTTATTAAATTCATTTGTTCTGACATTCTAATTTGTTGGAATGTCATATATTATTTGTCTCAAATTTTAAATGTCCAATATATCTTATTGGACATTTTCACTTAATATAAATTAATTTCAGAAAGAATTATAACTGAGTGCAATATATAAGACTTATTATTTTGTTTATAATATAATAAATGAGTTTATCTTACAATATTTAAGTTTTTTATTAAAAAAATATATATTGATTTTTTTAATTTGATTGTTATAGTGATTATTACCATATTATATTCTAATTTGCTTTATTAAAAAAATATATCTTTGGATTAATGAAACTAATTAAAATCTTTTATTTATTTGTGTATAAGTAATTTCTAATGATAAATACAACACTAATGGAGATTATTTTTTAAAAGAAATTTGAACATGCAAGTTAATAAATAAATAAATAAGATACTCATGAGTAGAAAAAAAACGTTAAAGTAAATAATATATACATTAAATATTGAAAAAAAATATATAAAAATAAATAATATTGAAGATAATATATAAAAGCAAATAATATTGAAGATAATATTAAATATAACCAATAATCAAATAAACCTATCTAACCTATAATTTATAATAGTATTAATAATTTATTTGTTTTTGAAAATTTTCAGTCCAAAAATTAAAAAAATTATTTGAATCTCTCAATTAAAAATGAAAAAACTTTAGTTGAATAATTAGAATGAAATATTTATTTTTTTTAAGTCATGATTAAAGACTAAAATTATATTTTTTTAAAATATAAGAATTAAAATATTTTTTTTTATTTTTATTTGAGAAGCTAAAATACTATTTACCTAAGTTTGAAGGGTTGAAAATATAATTAAACCTATTATCAATTAATGGAAAAGTATTCAGAAACTGAGAATGAAAGATAAATACAAGGAATGTTAATTCTAAACAAATATAAAGAAAAATAAAAATAAAAGTCAACAAAAAAGTTTAAAATCACAGCAATTCTTTCATCAATTATGTTTAGTAAAGTTATTAGTTAAAACTAGTGTTTCTAAAACCTCAAAAAATTGTAAATTTATATTTTTTATAATTTATAATATTGTTTACGTGTCTGTACGCAACAAAATATTATAAATAATAATATTGTTTATTCGGTTATTTATGTCAATTAATTACCGAATTATTATTATTATTTTATTTTATTTTATTTTTATCATTTTCCTTCGTTAATAATGATTTTGGTATTTTGTTTTGCAGTAGGAAAAATATTTAAAAAAATATATGAAATTGAGTTACATGTTTTATCTATTCCTTTATTATTTGATTTTACACTTTATAACTGAATATTACGATTATTACACATATTTTTATAATATTAATTAACTTAAAATTTTATTAAAAGTAGTGATAATTTTATGATGATTAAATTTTAAATATAAATAAAAAAATTAAAATTTTATTAAAAGTAGTGATAATTTTATCATGATAAAATTTTGAATATGAGTTAAAAATTCATAATATATAGAAATAAGTCAGATGAATAATATATAAATAATAATAATTTTTTTTCTATTGATAAGTCATTTATAGTTTTTTCTCTTAGATTATCTAACCAGTATTAAAATTAATGATTAGTAAATAAAATTCACAATAGTTATAATTTCTTTTGATAAATTATTAGAGTTAATGATTAATAAATTCAATTCATTATTGACTTTAATAATCATTTTCAAAGTTTACATTCTTATTCTACAATGTGAATAGGATAAAAAAAATGGTCTCATATAAAATAATCATAAAAGCCAAAAATAAACTTAATAAATTACAAATACATAAATGACCTAATCTACCATTAAAACAAGAGTAAATTAATCAGAATAATAAATAATATAATCAATAAAAATAACCACTCTAAAATTTGAATAGTTTATATCTAAAAGTTCTTATTTAAGATTGGACTCCACTTAAGATACAACAATAGCATTAAAAAAAAAAAACATCCTCATACCTAACAACACCCTTAACAAGAAAAAGAAAACAAATTTAGTAAAAGAGAATGTTAATATTAAAAAAATAAACAAAATTTATAAACATATATCGATAACTAGTGTAAAACACATATTAACAAAATTATAAATAATATTTAAATTTATTAAATCGTTTTACATATAAATTTTAAAATTTTATATGTTATTTATCTTAGAATTTAGTTAAATAATATTTATATATTTTTATTTTTAAAATAAACAATCACCTCCTTTATATTTCTAATGAAGTGATATTTTACATCCACTTTAAACAACATTAATAAACATTAAATAAAAATCATTAACACATAGAAGTAAAAAATATATAAAATAATGAAATGATTTAATTATTATATATTAAAAATAGGAGGAATCAATTTATTTTAAAAATAAAAATTATATATTTTTTAAATATGTTGATTAAGATAAATTATTATTTGAGATATTAGATTAATAATGAAGAGTAATTTATAATTTTTATTTTTAGAATAAGTAGATTTATTTTAATTAAAAATATTATAAAAATTATATTATTACTGAATTATAATTTATTTTATAAAAATATAAAACATTATATTTTAGAAAAAAATTTATTATTAATTTTATTAATTTATTGTTATATTTATTTATATAATTTGAATAAAAAATATAAATGAAATAAGAATAACAATTGATAATTTATTAATAATATAAAATGTATATTTCTAAATCAAACCATGAAGTGTTATTTTGTTCTATTTATATATCTTAATTTTATGTTAGAGATTAATTCTGATTGCGATATTATTATTTTTCATCAACCTAATAAGCTGTGAATATCAAACACAGATTACTTATTATATAAATTTAGACAAATATATATTTTTAAATAAAACAAAAGATGTAAGTATTATCTTATCAAGAATATAAAAAAGTTTTAAATTTTCATATATATTTCAAGGAAATTAATTATTATAAAGTCAAAGTTAATGTAATGATGAATAGCATAATAATAAAAAAATCTATAACTATATTTTGTCGATTTTTTTTTTCGCGTGTAGTATTATTTTAATCTAAAATTTCACATCTAGCACACTGTAGATATTATTTATAGGAGTAGCACGGCTTTTCAAAAAGTTAAACATTTTAAATAAAAAATAGTAATTGTTAAAAATTTTATGTTTTAAATTCATTAAAAATATATATATATATATATATATATATATAAAAAATATTATTTATATAATTATATTATTAATATATTTTTATAAATATAATAAATACAAATATATTTAATATATATATATAATATTTAAATATTTATTCATATAATTATATCAAATTAATATAAATATTCTTTTTACCTATCATAAAAATATATTTCTATAATTATATATATAATATATTTTTATAAATATAGTAAATACAAATATATTTAATATATATATATAATATTTAAAATTTATTTAATATAAATTAGTTGAAGAAAAAAATTGATAAAAATAATAATTTATAGGAATAATAAATCAAAAATAAATTTATATAAGATATTGTATGAATAACATTTATTTAATAATAATTTTGATGTAAAAAATTAGAAAAATACAAATAAATTACAATATTATAGATTTAATATTTAAATAAATTTAATAAATATGAATTTATAATATATATATATATATATATATATATATATATAAAATAAGATATTTAATAAATATATATATTTGTATATCTAAATTTACTTACCATTCATATGACCACCTAACTCTTTTGTCACTCACATGCCTACCTAAACTCTCTTACTACTCACATGACTATCTAACTCTCATATCGCTCACATGTCTATTTAAACTTACTTATTTCGCATGATCACCTAACTCTTATATCACTCACATGTCTACCTAAACGCTCCTACCACTCACATGACTATCTAACTCTCATGTCACTCACATGTCTACCTAAACTCTCCTACCACTCACATGACTACCTAACTCTCATGCCACTCATTACTATATAAAGTCTACTTTATCATCACTTCTCACACCAATTACTCACACCTTACCATCATTTCCCACACAATTCCTCATAAGTTCAGACTTCCCTTATCTCCTTTTTAGTCTTCTATACTTTCATCATTTTTATTGTTTTTTCTTTCATATGGATTCTTTCATTCGAGCAGTTTTTTTTATGATGGTGACATTGTGACTTGCCCTCAAACGGGGGTGTTATTTCGTAGTAACAATGTTATCATGATGCGTATTCATAAAGGAATGACATTTGAGCATTTCAAACAAATGGTTCTACAAAAATGTGGTCGATCTCCCCATGAACAACTTTCAACCATCACCTACAGATACCCCATCCGAGTTTATGGCTCAGATGCGTATTACACTGCAACTACGCTTCAAGACGACGAAGATTTACAAGGGCTAATCGACATACAAAATGCAAATCCAACATTGGCCGGAACTGAGATATGTACAACCTACCATAGAGGTAATCTTTTTTTTCCTAACCAATACCAAGATCAACACCATCACTCACAAAGACAACCCACAACACAAACATGTGATTTGAACAACACCTATTTAGGGCAATGGGAAGCTGGTGTACAATCATACAGCCAACTTCTAACTGGTCCATCTACATCAAATGTTTTTCCCTCCCTCACCAATGATATCACAACACCATTACCTTCTTTTTTACCCGAAAATGAGATTTTAGGATTTCCTTCAGCATCTTTAGAACCTTTTAGTAGTGATGAGGATGACATCCTCACACAACATGCACATGAGGATGGTGACAACTTAGAGGTTCATCCCATACAACAACAATCTCAACATCATTTACCCTATCCATACATCCCTCCCCAACATTTTGAAACCTATACCACACTTTCTTATGAACAAAATAGTGAGTTTGGTGATGCATTTGACCATGAATTAGTGGAACATTCACCTGGATCATTATTTAAGGGAATGCGGTTCCAAAACAAGGAAGAAGTAGTTGACGCACTTAACAGGTTTCACATCATGAATCATTGTACCTACAAAGTCATACATTCTAACACTACCAGATTAAAAGTGCAGTGTGTTGAGAGTCATTGCAATTGGAAGTGTCAAGCGATCTTGCGCACCAAGGAACAATTTTGGGAGATCCGAAAGATAGAAGGAGCCCACACATGTACTACGCCTTTGATATCACAAGATCACAATAAGTTGGGGTCACGCATAATTTCACAACATATTCGTGAAATTGTGGACGCAGACCCTTCTACCCCTATTGCAACTATTATTGCTCATATCAAATCTTCAGTTAGATACACTGTGACATATAGAAAGGCTTGGTTAGCAAAACAACAAGCAATTGAAAATATCTATGGCAATTGGGAAGAATCATTCAACAAATTGCTTAGTCTATTACAAGCAATGTCACAATTTCTTCCCCGTTTCTACTATCGATTGACCACACAACAACTATCTTCTGTCGATGACAAGGTATACTTTAAAAGACTATTCTGGACCTTTAAGTCATGTATTGATGACTTTCGGTATTGTAAACCACTAGTCCAAGTAGATGAGACATTTTTATATGGCAAATATAGGGGCACCCTACTACTGGCTGTTGTACAAGATGAAAGGAACAATATACTTCCCATTGTTTTTGCAATTGTTGAAGGTGAAACTGCAGATGCTTGGTTATTTTTCTTAAAAAGCCTAAGGAGGTATGTCACACCTCAAGATAACTTGTGCTTAATTTTGGATCGTCACAACTCAATGTAGCGTACACAAGACCTGAGAGTGGATAGATTGATGGTGACTGTATGCATGTGTACTGCATTCGACATATTGCACAAAATTTTTATGAGAAGATTCAAAAATGCAGCTCTCAAAAAAGACCTTGTCAATATGAGTAACAACTTTTATTCTATCTAAATTGTTTTACTATGTCATCTTGTTTATTTTATGTTAACTTTTATTACTTCAATATGCAGCATAAGCAATGACTGAACCAAGAGCAAACTATTACTATAACATCATAAGACAAGCCAATCCAGAAGCAGCAACCTGGATTGACGAAATTCCAAGGAATAAATGGGCACTTGCATATGATGATGGTAGAAGATAAGGTCATTTAACAACCAATTTAGCTGAATCCATTAATTCAGTCCTAAAGAAAACAAGAAATTTACCAATCTCCTCTATGGTCATGGTCACATACACAAGATGTAACAAATTTTTCACAAAAAGAGGGAGGCAAATCACAGCAATGATTAATGCTGGTCATGTCCATTCAGAAGTTGCATCAAAGGTCTTACAAGATGCTTATACAAAATCAAACACTCATAGGGTGTTTGAATTCGATAGAAGCAGCACAAGATTCTTGGTGGAGGAGATCGTCAACCCAAGAGAAGTTCGATCGGCTGGTAATTTTGTTGTTAGACTAGATGAAGCTTGGTGTGATTGTGGGAAGTTCCAAAAACTTCATCTACCATGTTCCCATGTGGTTACAGCATGCAAACATGCTCACCATGATTATGAGATGTACATCAATCATGTTTACAGGTTGGATGTAGTCAACAAAGTGTATGACAATTTGTTTTGGGAGCTTAGGCACGAAGATTATTGATCATCATATCAAAGCCCACAACTTTGCCCCAACCCAGCAACAAGAAGAAGTTCTAAGGGTCGTCAAAAGTCAACACGAATTAGGACTGAAATGGATATCTGCGAAGAAGGTCACCCAAAGAAATGCTCCTATTGTCACACTCCAGGTCACACAAGAAATCATTGTCCAAATAACCCTGGTCTTAGGAGATCAACTTCTCATAGATAAATGTATTGTAGTTTTGTAATATGACATTATAATCATTAATAAATAATTATTCTACTCATTTGTGATTTTCTAACTTGTTTATTCATGTTTAGTTGTTTATTTATATTTCATTGATTTAATATCTAAAATATCAATTCACTTTAATTCAAATAGTATATCTTACTCAAATTACCTAATTAAAATTTTTATTTATACAAAATTTTAACAAAATATTTATACCAAACATATTAAAATATAATAAAAATATTTATATATTTTTATAAAAGAAATATTATTTATACTTAATTAATATATATATATATATATATATAATTTATTTATGTTATTATGTATATAGAAAGATATAAATATATATTTATTAAATATATAAATATACATGTATTTATTATATTTATAAAAAGATAAATAAATATTTAAATATATATATATATATTAAATATATTTATATTTATTATATTTATAAAAATATATTAATAATATAATTCCTATAAATTATTATTTTTATTAATTTTTTTCTTCAACTAATTTATATTAAATAAAATTTAAATATTATATATATATTAAATATATTTGTATTTACTATATTTATAAAAATATATTAAACATATATAAATTAGTTAAATAAAATTTAAATATTGTATATATATTAAATATATTTGTATTTACTATATTTATAAAAATATATTAAACATATATAAATTAGTTAAATAAAATTTAAATATTGTATATATATTAAATATATTTGTATTTACTATATTTATAAAAATATATTAAACATATAATTATATAAATATATTTTTATGATAGGTAAAAAGAATATTTATATTAATTTGATATAATTATATAAATAAATATTTAAATATTATATATATTAAATATATTTGTATTTATTATATTTATAAAAATATATCAATAATATAATTATATAAGTAATCTTTTTTAATTATATATATATATATATATATTAATAAATTTAAAATATAAAATTTCTAACTATTATTATTTTTTATTTAAAATGTTTAACTTTTTGAAAAACCGTGCTACTCCTCTATATATATATATATATATATATGAAATTTTAGATTAAAATAATACTACACGCGAAAAAAAATCTATAACTATATTTTGTCTACACAATCCATATAACATAATGATTGTTTTTCCCAAAGAGGAAGAACATTATCCCGAGCCAAGCCATTTACCGGCAAGACGTAATGTAATATTTGTTATTTGTTGTTTTACTAGCAGTTGGAGCTTACTACCTCCTGTTGCTGTTGTGTGTTCATCATTTGTTTGTTGTCTACAGAAACGTGACAAACAGCAGAAAACCATGGCTTGCCTGTACAAGAATCCCAACCAATCCATTGAAGTTCGTGTGAAGGACCTTCTTTGCCGCATGACTCTGAGGGAGAAGATTGGTCAGATGACCCAAATTGAGCGCACTGTTGCAATCGATTCTGCCATTAGAGATCTCTCCATTGGTACCCCCTTAACCTACTTCTTGTGATATGCCCCTCCAATTTGGTATTTTTTTAAGGGTTTGAACTTGTTGGAGCTAATTTGAGATACCCCAATTGAGAATGTGTTTTAAAAGTGGGAGATTTGATGTTGCTGTGTGTTGGTGCTACTTTGAACTTGTGGAGAGAGTGTCTTGAAAATGAGAACTTTAATTATGTTTATGTGTTTGTGAAGAAATAATTGCATAGTTCAAGACCACTACATAGTCCTATCCAATCTTTACCAGACATGCAATTGAATCTTATTAACTTTTTTTGTAAATTTAAAATCTCAGTATGTCAAGTAAACATTGGTTTTGAACCGGAGAATAATTTCTCATATTTATTTGTAATGGCCACTTTCTGATCTCAAACCATGCAATAATTTCTGGTGTTTGTGCCCCATTCTAAATGATTTTTGAACTTATAGGAATCTGAGGTAGGAATTTGAGGGACCCCAATTGAGTTTGAGGCTTGAAAATGGAAACTTTGACGTCTCTGTGTATATTTGTATTACATGTTGTTCAAGCTTTGAACTTGTTCGAATTTCAAATCATTTGAGGGGTCCCAATTGAGAGTGTGCCTTAAAAAATGGGAACTTTGCAGTGTGTTTGGTTCAACATTACCGATTTGGGTTGAACAACTTGGATGTGAGGGAAAACGAGGGGGCTAAAATCCCTCTGCTTCCAGCTTTGCCTCCCTCCTTCAATATTGAAAAATGTTGAAGGAGAGGAAATGGGGTGCATAATTTGTGAGATTTTATCTTTTCTTTCATCTTCTCGTAATTTCTCTTGTTTGTGCTTGTATTGTTTTGGATTGGACCCTTCTTTGGCATTTTGTTATATTCATGTTTACATTACAGGGAGCATACTCAGTGCTGGAGGAAGTTCACCATTTGAAAATGCACAGTCGTCTGATTGGGCTGATATGGTAGATGGCTTTCAAAAGCTTGCTCTACAGTCGCGACTGGGGATACCTCTCCTCTATGGGATTGATGCAGTTCATGGTAATAATAGTGTCTATGGTGCTACCATATTTCCTCACAATATTGGTCTTGGAGCTACGAGGTTAGTACTCACTTGTCCCTATTTTTTTATTCTCAATTAACATAGCTTAATACTCTTACAGTAGTCAAATGGTTCTCTTGTACTGAAGAGATAAAAAACAAAGATGCTAACTTCATGAAAAACGGTGGTGCAACAAGCCGCTGGATGTGCTGAGTTAGATTGGGATTTGAGATGATATAACATTTTTTGCTATTGAAATCAATTCTTACATTTCACTCTTTGCATGCTTGTAGGGACAGTGATTTAGTTCGAAAAATTGGAGTTGCTACGGCACTTGAAGTTAAAGCAAGTGGAATTCACTATAATTTTGCTCCATGTGTGGCGGTAAGGAATTGCAATCAACTATTCATTATATGCCCAGATGTGTTATGCCAGAGAGCTACATAGGTCCTGCCGCTTTTGCAAATAGACTCACTTGAATCTCCATTTTGTGCAACTTTTTTTCAATTTTGAATGTATTGAAGTTGTGCCCCTGGTGCACTCATTATTTATCAATATTTGATGTTCATTAGTGAATTCAGTATACATTTTGTTTGCATTGAACACTTGGCAAGTAGCATGTAAATGACACCACTTCCCAAGAATCTGGTAGTTAATCAATTCTCATAGTATTTTCTGAAAAGATCTCCATATTTATCTTACAATCAGATATTCTAATAGGAGTTAAAACGCAAAGGATGGCCATAATATATCCACATTTTCATATTTTTCATTTAATTTTTTCCCATTTATGCTTCCGTATCTAATCAATAAAGGAATTCCAATTTACTTGGTTAAATACACAGGTCCTCAAAGATCCTAGATGGGGAAGATGCTATGAGTGTTATAGTGAGGATACTGAAATAGTTAGAAAGATGGCTTCCATTGTATCAGGTTTACAAGGCCAGCCGCCAGAAGGACATGAACATGGATACCCTTTTGTAGCTGGAAAGTATGCAAAAGCCCTATATATAAATTTTAAAATATTTTCATTCAAAAATGTATTGAAAACTAACTGTTGCTGTCCCAATAACTATTTCCATTCACACTTGACATCAGAGTGACTACAGCATTTTGTTCTATCTTATTCGTATTTACTTTCTTTTATATCATTTTCCATAGTTTGCATTTTAGGAAAGGATTTCCCCCGTTTGTTTAGTCGCAAAATATGATTTCCCTGAATTTTTTATGCTATTAATATTTTGTTACCCATTTTCTGATTTGTATATTTTCCCATTTCTTCATTCTGCTCATGGCTTAAACTTGTAATTATTTTGAAAAAACTTCACCTAATTAATGTATACATTTTCTTTATCAATAATGTCATCATATGTTTAAGTTATACTTCAGGAACAATGTTGTTGCATGTGCCAAGCATTTTGTTGGAGATGGAGGTACTCATAAAGGTGTGAACGAGGGAAATACTATATTATCTTATGAAGACTTAGAGCGAATCCACATGGCACCTTACTTAGACTGCATTTCTCAAGGAGTTTCAACCATTATGGTCTCCTATTCTAGCTGGAATGGACGCAAACTCCATGCTGACCATTTTCTTATAGCTGAAATCTTGAAGGGCAAATTAGGTTTTAAGGTAAAATAACCCTAATAAATCTATCTCCCTATCACTGGATAATTTTGAAGTTGCATTTGCGTCAATAGCTTCAAAAGTATGTTACCCAATTTTATGTGTTACCAGATACTTTCGGCACATATGGATAAATACCAAAACCATTTTTCATTTTATGTTCTTCCTTTTATGTTGAAAAGATGAAGAATCTTCAGCTTTTCGTTTTATTAGATATAAAAACTATTAAAGAGGCTCCATTTATTGGGTTTAGCTTTTAGTATAGTTGTCCCTTGACGTAATACCACGCTTTGACTAATAGCATGATTGGATTTGTGGTAGGGGGCCTCAAAACCCTGTTTAACAGTTAACACTGATTTTCTCTAAAAGGAATGTTTAATTGTTTCAAACATGATTTTGTTCCTAAAAGCATGATAGACTAGAAGTTAAAAATTATAGCTTTGTGTTGGGAGCAGATCTGAGATAAAACTTTTTTCAAGATAAAAAGATCAGTCAAATTATACTACAAACTTTCTTTTGAGATAAAAAGTTTTAAACATAAAATTACTTCACTTTAACCAAAAGCATTTTTGTAAAATCAAGACCATTCAAAATCAGTTTGTAAATGTTCACAGCTCACTTAAACATACTCAAAGTAGTAAAGATTCAATCTTTACCATCCCTTTTCTTCTAGTAAAAAGTTATTCTTGGCACATGGTATAATATGTAACCGCATTGTCTACACTTAAGTCAGAACAGATCTTGTGAGAAGATCTGTTCTTGATATAAAAATCATTTCCAAGCTTCCTCCAAATAGCAACTTAAGTTTTTATAACAAATGGTCCTTTTGACAATAGCTTGAAAGTTGTAATAAGATATGATAACAGTGACTGGAATTGTTTTTCATTTTCTTATGTTTCTGGTTTTGATTATAACATTTGTTTTTAAAATATTCTTAGACCATTGCTGTTATAGGGGTTTGTCATTTCTGACTGGGAGGGACTTGACAGACTTTGCCAGCCTCACGGGTCAGATTATCGGTACTGCATCTCCTCTTCCGTCAATGCTGGAATTGACATGGTATAGATCTTTGGCAAAAAGAATCATTTATCGTAGTCTGCTTTTCTTAATCTGTTTTCATCTATTCAATATTATGCAGGTGATGGTCGCTTTAAGATACAATGTTTTCATTGAAGAATTGACCTCTCTAGTTGAATCAGGGGAAGTGCCTCTGAGCAGAATTGATGACGCCGTTGAGCGAATTTTGAGAGTAAAGTTCGCTGCTGGGCTTTTTGAATTTCCTTTAAGTGACAGATCTCTGTTAGACACAGTTGGCTGCAGGGTAATCAATAACTCTCAGCACATAGTGAATTTCTTTTTCCCATTTTTTAGGTTAAGTTTTGGAGGATTTAAAATATTTCTATTTCTAATCAGGAATGTAAGATCATAATCATAGCTCAGTACCATAATTTTAAGAGTTTCTCTGTGACCGTAAACAGTTCTTGCTAACCTAAGTGCATGATAAATTGAAGTAAGTGAAAAGTTAATTTCTCTCCTATGTGGTTCTTTTAAATCCACTTTTAGAAACGTTATGATAATTTGGTGTGAAAAAAATACTCTAGAGGGTGTAGACCCTCGAATATAAACTGGGAAAAAAAAAATATTGAAATTGATAGACAGGAAACATAAATGGTAGCATGTTAGATCAGATATTTAGTTCTCTTTGGACAATTGCAACTTATGGTATAGCCATTGGACATATTTTAGAAAAATGATTAATCAAGCAAATATGCTTACCTTGTATGATCAACCAATCTATTTGCCCATCATTAAATTAGAAATATGTTTCCCCCAAAAACATGAGGTGACACTAAAAGGGATGGAAACTATACTTTTGTAAGAGCTTTAGGAAACATAAATGCTTTAACTTCAATCACTAAAGTCAAGGGATCCCAATGGAGAACAAAACTTAGTACCACGGATTCCTTTTTATATTTAGATTACAATTGTGTACTTCCCAAGTTCCCATTTTGTGGCATGTTAATATTCTATGTTCCTCGATTAATTGTTTGTTGGTATCATAATGCTATTTTTGCAGCCCCATAGAGATCTAGCACGTGAAGCAGTTCAGAAGTCCTTGGTTTTGTTGAAAAATGGAAAAGATCTTAGCAAACCTTTTCTTCCACTGAACAAGAATGCTAAGAGAATCCTTGTTGCCGGAACACACGCAGATGATCTTGGATATCAATGTGGAGGGTGGACTAAAACTTGGTATGGATTGAGCGGACGAATCACAGTTGGTAAGACATTCTTTTGTCCTGCTTTTTTCAATACTTTTTTGTTGACTCTCAAAAGCAGAAAGTTTGTTGCTTCTCCATGGTAGTTCAGTTCTTGGATGAGGTTATTTGGCATCTTTGGTAGTAGAATAATGGTTTCTGATTTTATAAATCTAGAAATTCGTTTGGTCCATCATTCCCTCCCAAGTATCAACCATACTTTCTTAGTCTTTATCTTGAATGCATATTTTCAGAGAACATGAAGATTGATTTACATAAATCACTAATGTTAATGCTCTATCTTTCTTTCTTCATAGTATTCTTTGTTAAACATTGTTGTTTCATGTATCTTACACCTACGATTATAGGGACAACAATTTTGGATGCTGTGAAGGCAACTGTGGGAGCTGAAACAGAAGTGATGTACGAGAAATATCCGTCCAAGGACACCATAGAACGTAACGAATTCTCTTTTGCAGTTGTAGCTGTTGGTGAAGAACCATATGCTGAGATCTTAGGTGACAATTCAGAGCTTACAATTCCCTTAAATGGAGCTGATATCATAAGCCTAGTTGCTGACAGAATCCCAACTCTGGTTATTCTGATATCTGGAAGACCTTTATTATTAGAGCCATGGCTATTGGAAAAGATTGATGCTCTTGTCGCTGCTTGGTTGCCAGGTAGTGAAGGAGAAGGAATCACAGATGTTATCTTTGGCGGTCATGACTTCAAAGGTAAATTACCAGTGACTTGGTTCAGAAGAGTTGAACACCTTGATCAGCCAACTGATGGAGTTCATTCATGTGAACCATTATTTCCTCTTGGTTTTGGTCTGACATATAGTTAGGGCAATTACACGACTAAGTGCCCTAAAGCACGTTAAAATAACTCTTGCACCTTAATAATTTGGATATCAAAACTAATTATGTAAGTATATTAATATTCCATACTATCTATGTAACTTAAGTTTAGAATAAAAGAAGACAATACAAAATTACTAAATGAATTTTAAAAATAAAATATTTTAACATAATTTAGTTAAAATATGACAATGATGTATATTTTTTATTATCGATTTAAAAAAAAATGAAATTATAAAATTCAGCAAAACAATCAATTTTTCAAGTTAAAAAGTCAACCTATAACTAATTCTGACCTTTTTTCTTAAGTTTGCTGAGTTGTAAATACTTTCAAATGTTGTTTGCTTTGAAGAGCGGAAAGAGAGGGGGCAAGATTTACCAAGAAAATATTGTGCACTCATTATCTATCTACATTTGTAAAAATTGGATTGTGAAAAATATAACAAACAAAGAACATTAAAAAAAAATATATATATTTAAATAATTGATTGTGTGCAGTCTATGGATGACTTTTTATTTTGTGTGTGCGCTTTATTATAATAAACGATAAATAATTTAAAATAATAATATTCAAAATATTAAAAAAAATAGTTTCGATGTTTTTTTCATCCATTCTTACCTATTTCTTTTCGCTTTACCAAACGAAACATTAGTTTTTCAACTTCTACATTTCATGTGGATGTGTTCTGGAGACCGTATAAATCACTACCTAAACTTTTTAATATAAGGTTGAAGTCTGAAATAAATGGTAACACTTCGTATAAATGGTCTCATTCTATTTTTGTCACCTTAAATAAAAATTTAACCATAGATTGCTTTTAAAACTATAACACATTTTGCAGTATTGTTTGAAATTGTAGACTCTCAAGGATGAGTTTTCCAAATTAGGGTTCATACGCAGAAAATCATTGTAGTGAGTTACACTTTGTTGATGTCCATTGATAGTTTCAATTATAAATGTTTCAAAAACTAGATTCAGTTATAGAAAAAAGACACTAAGATAGTGATAGCAAAGTTTGGTATTCAACTTCCATCGTTCTCAGCATCATACCCATTGACACCACTTCCGACTAATGTCCAACATCTGTAAAGATCCTCGATCTGTATTCATATTTAAATAACACATTTTTTACACTTGTTAACTCACTGTTGAATCAAATTATTATCTTTCATCATAATTTTTATGCTTCAAATTTGAGTGAAACTTCTTAAATGTACTTTTGGTTATACAAAATTATAAGTATTTAACTTTATCATACCCTCTCTTGGACTGATCTAATAACGAATATTATATTCCAGCAACAGTTTAAACATAATTAGGTTGATTTTGATATTATATTAGAAATGGCAAAGAATGTAAATTTTCATGTATGCAAAATTAAGGAGAAATATTAATAGATGCTAACAAGCTTGTACTACTAAATAATGTTTGACTCTGTTTCGGATTTCTCCATTATTCCAAAAACAAAACAAAAAATTGAAGTTACTGTATGAATATGGTTATAATTGTAGTGCAAGTGTTGATGGAAATAAGAATAAAGCGTGGAATGTGCTTTTAAATTCCACTTGCAAAAAGGTGGTTTTCCTTTTGTAAAGGATGGTGGTTAGTCTTGTCACCTACTGTAGCAAAACCAAGTAGCAGGACCATTTAGGGTTATAACCTCTTGCATGGTGTGGTTGTTTTTATTAGACTTCAATTCCCACCCAGATTTTATTAATTACATCCGTGGCCAAGTTTTTGAAATGGGTCAATAATTTTGGAATTTCTATGAATAATTGACAATAAAGTTAACAAAAGGTGAAAGTACTACTTTTCATAAAGGGTCACATTTTTTCTTCAAAAGAAAACTTTGAGAATTCAATGACTCATGTGATTCCATAATTCCACCCTCTCATTGTTATGGAAAACTTGATAAAATTAAAACTTTTCTAAAAACACTTGGTAAAAAAAAAAATCATAAATTAATATTATAGTTATTTATAGAAAGTTTGTAACAAAAACTTCTTTTGAAAATCAAATTCAACTTACAAATGGAGTTTACTTTAGTGTTCTAATTTAATCTTTTTCATTTTAATATATGTATATATACTAATTAGGTTCATTTATTTGTCCAATAAAAAAAAAACTCTGAAGACCACTTGCTATGTTCAACATTCAATCATTCGGTCCTTTATGGGAAGGAAGCACTTTGTCATTAACAGACGAAACACTTTGCAGACCAATAAACTTGTCCACCCCTGCATGACTTTTGCATTATGCAGAAATTGAAGCATATATGCGCACACCTACTTGAAAAAAGAAAAAAAATGCAGAAATGAGATTGGTTCAAAACAAAGAAACAGTGGAATTGTGCACAAGGAATTTGTCTTGGCGTATCCTATTTCCCAAAGCCAGGCATGTAGAAAGTGGAGCAGATGTGGTCAAAATGACCTTATTGCAAAGAAGAAAAGCTTACGAGTCATGATTTACATCTCTAATCAGATGATGCACATAGTACCTTCTATTTCAATTATTGCACCTTTCTCTTTACTTGGTTGTTGTGAATCAATCGTGTAATTAATTAACTTGTAGATTCTTCTTCCAAGGAAAGTTTGTAGGCGTGTCTTTGTACAATTGAACACATTTTTGGAATCATCTGCACTTTACAATGTTAATCATGCAGAATAAGTGCTAATAGACCCTCAGAATAGTTTATATTAAAATCATACAACACACTGTTTTTATATTTGCAACTTCTTTTAAGTCATTTCATGTCAACCATTATCTGCCACAATGTTTACTTTATATAATTGTATTTTATTTATTTATTTATTTATTATTATTATTATTATTAAGTCCACAAAACACTCTTTGAGGGAGGGAAAAAAATGGGGTTGCCAAGATTCTTCGTTCTCATTTTCAGAGAAAAATAATTTGTGGCCAATGAATTTTCTCTTCAAAAAGAGAATCCAGGACCCTTTGTGTGTGTGTGTATAATAAATGAGTAAATGTCTACTGTTAAATCATATAGGGAAGTCAAACAAACTACCATAAAGCCATTTTTTTTAATGATGTTATTTTATAATGTCATTAATTTTCAGTTTTATTGATGATTAATTTTTAAAGATTCTTTGAACCATACTATTTAGTCTATTTTAATACACCAAAGGTTTTAGAGATAATTTTTTGTGTGTGTATTTTTCAGAATATCATTGGCAACAAGGTTTACCCTGTATTCTTGTTATACGGGAGACTTTATAAGATAATAATAATAATAATATTTTGATTAAAATTCTATAGCTGATAAAAAATGTTTTATACTTTTAAAATATTAATATCAATGATAAAATATTCAAAAATAAACTCTTTTGTGTTAAATGAAAATAAAACTAAAGATATATATTTGTTTATAATTATTCCTAGTAAGAAAAAACATTTAGTCCTTAAAATATTGTGTGATGATATTCAATAGTAACATCCATATAAATATAATTATCAAAATTTTGGTCATCTACATCGTAGTAAAATGTGATTCATGTTATGCACACTTTATAGATCTATTATAATATCTGATTATTAAATGCTAAAAACTTCTTTTGGCAAAATAAAGGGCTTAGGTTGTCTCCATAAATGGGATCAACTATTTGAACCAAGATATGGAGAACAGTGAAGCATATAAAATTATGTTAAACAGAATGGTTCCGTACACATAGAATCACAGTGACTATGATGCTTTCTTTGGATTTACTCAGTGAACAGTTCACAAACAGTGCTCTTAACATCGTGCATGACCAAATTCTTTGTTAAGAATATATTACCCATCTAATCCGACATGAATCACTCTTGTACCATATGTTTCTATTTTTTTTTCTAATTAAACAACTAATTAATCCACATGAATCTCACGTTGTACAAAATATATTCGTGCATCTTAATCTTATCTTACAAGAACCATTGCTAAGGTACTAGATTTCGGATCTCTCAATTTCTTACTATTTTTTTGCCCTTTAAATACAAGTTTCCATCAACAGTACTAACCTTCACATACATGAATGGCTTGCCATTGTACAAGGGAACCTTTTCTCTTTCTTTCAAGTTAACATTTCATTCTAAACTTAGCTTGAAATCCAATATTCTTAAACGAAAAACCCAAGTTTGGTACCTGTTTTTGCCTAGCAGCTCTCACCTTTCACAAATGTAAGGTTGATGAAGAAACAAAATTTCAACACCTTCCTTCAAGTTCATATATCAAGAAGGCAATAACTACCTAATAGTCTAATGTGAGATATTCACAGAAAACAAGGTAAAAGGCACAGACACTGTACTAGTGCGTGAACTGAGCAGAAGTCACTGGTTCTAGCCATAAATAATTGAATACAACCACCACCGTCACATTATGCATGGGAATAGTGTTGGGAGGGCTGCATTTGGAAAACCATGTTTGGTGTCTGAGGTCCTAAGTAAGAAGACTCATGAAGAGGACTTCTGTGCAGACTTTGGCCTTGCACCTTGTACCCATATGAGTTAAAGCCATAAGGGGACATGAACACTTGTTCATGTGCAGGATTGAGAGCCATAGGTACTCCTGCATTTGGCTGATTACTCCACTGGAAATTCACTCCTGATGAGGTAGCACTAGAATTTGGCTGCTGGTGTGAGAGCATCACCGAATGCTGTGGTGATGCGGATCTCTTGCTGTCTTCTGAAGAAGTTCTGGTGGTTTCTGTGAGATTCACTGTTGTTATGTCATGGATGCTAGCCCTCCTCTTGTCTTTGCCTCCAGAAAGTTGCCTGATGAAGTACTTCTGTGCATGACTAGCAACTTGAGTTGGCGTTCGAGTAATCACAAAATTGCGTGAAATGTTTCTCCAATCACCTTTGCCATACTTCTTCAGCCCTAGTAGAAACAATCTGTGGAGAGTTTACACAAGGCATAATCAAGTTCAAAGTCAACACCCAACATCTGATATAAATAGCACATGAGTTAATTTATATGACATATCTAACCACCCACATAGCCTGCCTCATGAAGGCTATCAAGACCTTAACACAGATAAGAAATATCCAACACTCTTGATAACTAGCTAGGTAGCATCATTGCTCCTATTCCTAGGTTCACATATAAAGTACATCATAAACTTAACCACATCCATTAATTCTTGCTTTCTCTCATATACATCATTTTTCTTTTCAAACTGATTTGCATTTTCAAGAACCAAGTAGTAATAATATCTTCCTATGGTATTTCACACACATAATTGGGATTAAAGTTTAAAAGCAAAAATAATAAAGAATAAACAACAAGATGACTCACTTATGTTCCTCTTCAGTCCATGGCACACCTTTCTTCCTTTCCTGCTCAGGAGGTCTACCAGAGGAGGATCTCTTGGCAGTGAGGCCTTTGAAGCCATCGTACCCAGGAGTGTTCACCCAGTCTAGGGTGAAGGGTGAGGTGGTAGTACTGTAGCCTGGAATCGGGATCAAGCCAGCTTCTATGTTACAAACATCTGCTTCCAATTCCTTGTACTGCTTCACCACATCCATAACTGTCTTTCCTGGTATCATCTCAGCCACCCTGTGCCACCGATCCGGGGTGTCCTTATCATACACTGCAAGAGCATTCTCAAACAGCTTGTTCTCCGCAGGGGTCCATTTGGTGTTGGTGTTGGTCCTGTTATCATCCAAAAGCCAATTGGAGTTGTACATATAAGGTGAGGCCGGAGGGAGGATTTCCATTTCCCACTTCATCACAGCAAAGTCACAACACAAAGAAACACACAAACTATGGGAGCATGAAGAACAAGGCTGGAGCCAATTCAAGATGGTTTTTTGGTTTGGAGCCGGTGTTTGTGGATTTTACTTGAAAGATATGCACAACTTTATGGGAAGCAGGGTTGATTCAGAGCAGGAGAGAGAGGGAGATATATGAGAAGCAGAGGTGGAGGTTTTACCACAACACTATCAAGGATATATCAACAAGCATTTTTTGAAGGGAATCAGAATAGCCTTTTTTATGTGTAGGAAAGGAGCCATGCTCTTCAGGAATCTACAAAAGACCCACTTTGTAAAAAAATCAAAGGGAATGCTCCAAATTGAGGTTCAAGATTATTACTTATTTGGTCCAAAGGAAAACCCTAGCACAACTTGTGATGAGATCTAAACCCAATGAACTTCCCTCTCAGATACCAAAAACTGGAACTGAGACACACTAAAATTCCAGCAAAAAAAAACACAAATCCCAACAAAATAAAAATGATAACTTTCAGAGAGAAAAAATCTGACAACTCTTTCTGCACTTCAATTTGAGCTTACCCCAATTGGGAAAGTAATTAGAAGCCAAAAGAACAGCAAAAGGGATGCAGCCTAAGACAATGAATGTACAAACCCAATTAGGAAAGAGCAGAAAGACTCTGAATTTATGAGGGAAGAGGGTGGTGGAAGAAAAAGAAGAAAAGCTTGTTTAGCAAAAACACAAAACAATACTGTTTTTTGTTTTTAAAATCCCTTTTCCTTGATGCTGAGCAACAAAGAAAAGAGAAAGAAATAGAAAGAAATATTGAAAAGAAACTTGGCACAAAAAAGGAATAGGAGCCCCCCAAATGGAAAAGAGGGAGATTATATGGAAGCTGAAAAAGCAAAGTGAGCAAGCTTGAAAGAATGAATCTTAAAACAAACTTTGCCACTCTCTCCTCAAAGGGGAAGCACCAAGGGAGAGAACCAAAAAGCACTGGATGAAGGTGGTGAGCTGTGATTGGGTGCTATGTGTGTGTGGATCCTGCAACTACATAAAAAGTTCCCTCTTATTATAATACACACACCCCTGCTTCTGTGCACTTTTTATTAAAAATAATAATAATAATAATAAAGTAATTAATGATTTATTAATGCATCATTTACTTGTAATTATTATTTTATTCATTCATTTAAGTTTTTGTTTCTTTTGTCTTTTTTATTGATGTTATCAGTTTGTAACATATTCAATTCCAAGCTCGTCACTTTGCAATAGTCAATGTAACACGCCACTTTGAGATGTACGCACCATTCATCTTCATATTGGTTCATGGAATTTTCAGTTTAATTTCAGGTAACGGTGTGAAGATTATTTTTATTCATAATAAATGAAATAGAGTAATTAAATGGTATATCAATTCATTGCCAATAAATATCATTAATGATCTTTACTTTTTGCTACTTATGAATTTTTATCATTTATTATTACTAGTATAACTATAATTTATTTCCATTACAGTTTTCGAGTAATATCATTTATTGCTTATTTATCTGTCTTAACTTTAATTACCTTAATGACAGATAGAAAATAATAAATTCTTATAAATAATTTTAGATGAAGAAAAAATATTGAAATAAATTATCTAAATCATAAAAAAAAAAATTCTTAATACGTGTAACTAAATCTTAACATCACATATTAAGAGATAGAGAAAATATTTAAGATTTTTTCAAAAAGTAATAATTAAATCAGGGAATAGAAAGCTTCTAGAAAAGTATTCTTATACCTTTGTTTATTTCATTTATTATCTCGTTATTACACATTTTAAAAACAATTATTACATTTTTTTTATAAATATTAATACCTCGTAGTACATATTTTATAAATAATTAAAATACGCAATTACTATTGTTTAAATTAATTGGTAACGCAATAATGATTATTGACCAATATGCCTCTCATATATTTAGTTTATGACTAATAATTAAATAATTTAAATTGATGTAAATATGTATTTAAAATAAATTTATAATTACTGCACTAACAAATGTAAATTCCAAAAAATTTAAAACAAAATAATAAAAAAAAACTTAATCGACATATAAAGTAAAATGAAGAAAATATAATTTTTTTTATTATTATAATTAAAATATACACACATTTATATATGTTACCGATTTTCATTTACATTTTTATTGTTTTTAAATATAAACAAATTTTATCTACATTTCCTTTATTTATGGATTTTTTATTTTAAATAGTATTTAACTTTGCCTTTGGTTATATTATCATCGCGTCTACTTTTTATTCTACGATAATGACATTTTAGAAAAATTAAAAAACTAGCAAAATTTAATACAACTAATTTGTTTCCTTATTGTATGTGATTTTTTTTCTTATAGACAAAAACGAATGTCCTAACGAATTAAATAATTTTTTCATTCAATACTAATTAATCGAGAAAAAGATAAATTTAATGTAAAATTAAACGTCTCAAAAAAGTGTAATGTTCGTGGGTGCAAAAATATTTATATCCGCAATTAATAAACATTCACGTTTTACAAAATATTTATTATAAGAATAATAAATTATCATAAATAATTATTTATAATTTGATTATTATATAAAAAATGTTTAGACTGTGAAGTATAACTCAAATTGCCACATATATACTTTATGATTGCGTCAATTAAAATTCCTGTCGAAAAATAAAATAGAAAGATATATATATATATATATATATATATATATATATATATATATATATATATATATATATTATTGTTATGTTGTTAGTTATTGTTGCCTTAATTAGGATTTATTTATTGTCATTTTAATTTAATTTCTCAAATTCCAATTAAATTATTAAAAAAAATATTATTTAAAATATTAAAATTCATATTTAAAATTATTTATAGTCTTTTAATTTAATATATATATATATATATATATATACTAAAATTATATTATATTAAAATTGAGAATAATTTTTTTAACTGAGATTAAGAAATTATTTATTTTCAGATACTAAAAACGTTATTAATCCTTTATTTTTTTAGAATAATAGTTAAAGAATTTAAAAAGAAAATGTATTAAGTGAATTTTAATTTTATTAAGATTTAAAATAGATCATTTTTCTTATTCTTTACATTTTTTATGATAGTATATGACAAAATATTTCTTATATTTTAAAAAGAAAATGTATTAAGTGAATTTTAATTTTATTAAGGTTTTAAATAGATAACTTTTCTTATTCTTTAAATTTTTTATGATAGTATATGACAAAATATTTCTTATATTTTTTATTAATATTACCTTTATAATTAATCTTGAATATTTATTATGTGTAAAAGAGTTCTTTATTTTAGATTTCTTATGTTAATTTATGAGTGATATGAAATATTATATCGATTATATCTTGACATAAAAAATTATTATTACGTTTATCTTCAAATCGTAAGAGATTAATTCATGTGTTTTATCATGAGAGCAAACAATCTTCTTCATACATATTACATAACATCCTTATTAGATATTAGTTGAGCTCTTCTAGGTTAGTCACCATGCCATTATACACCCAGAATTTAAATAGTTTTACCAAATTTTGTGAAGTATTTAAGAATAGCATATATTATTTAGAATAATCTCTTATTTTATGTTAACATAACAAGGGAGGAATCTTTTATTTATTTTCCTAATCTAATTTTAAAGAATATTTTTACATGTTTAGAATTAAGGTTGTGTGTGGATCTTGCAGGTATATTTTGTTGAATAATAATAAGTATTGTTTATAAGTATCGTGATAAATTTAATTTGTTAATTGATATTATTTTTATAAATAAGATATAATTTATGGAGAACTTATATGTTTTTGAATTTTATAACTTTAAAGTAATGTGTTTGAGATGTTTTAGGATAAATGAGCTAAATTAATTAGATTGTGATAGTGATTTTATCTCGTTGTTTTATTTAAAAAATTTGATTGTGAATTTAATTGTTAATATTATATTTTAAATTGTGATTAAATGAGTTCATGTAAAGTAACTGTGTGAAAAATGTTATCATAGAATAATTATATTTAAACTAATTATATTATGCTTTAAAAAAAATTACAATGGAGTCTTAAAATATTATATTTGATGTCTTAAAATATATTTGTGATGTATTATATAAGTTTGATATTTACTATTTTGTTTAAACGATAATTTATCACTTAACTAAAATATACAGTAAATACAAATATTCTTCTTGATAATATTTTTACTAAAATAAAGATGATTTCTAAAAATAAAAAACTTGTGTCTATCTTCATTTTTATTTAAGTAACAAATTTATAATAAAGTGATATTTAGTTATGTTATAGTTTTGTTTAAACAAAGTTATGCATTATTGATGCAAAAATTATTTTAATTAAACAAAAATGATTTGGAGAGGAATATTTTCTAGAGGAATTTCACTTTAATTTAAATAAAATTAAAGGCTACAAAAATTATAAGAATTTAAGATAATTTCTTTGATTCTTTTAGTATATTTTTACTTATGATATAGAAATATGCATATATAAAATAAAATGTGTTGAATATTATTATATATATTAAAAAGTATTATTATAAGAAATATAAAAGGTATTATCATAATTTAGTGTGCATAATATTGATATTGGGACTAAATGAAATATTTTGAATTTATTAATTATTTATTCTAATTTAATAGAGAAAAGGATAAACTAATAAAAATGGAAAGAAATTTATAGATCGTAAAGGACCCAGCCTTGTGCTAATCCCATCCCCAACCCCATAAATTTTTTAAAGTTAGTTGTATATTTGTAATTTGTAATCATGACCTCATTTTTCTTAACATTTAAATTTAATAATTTATTAGATTTGTGTTATCCAAAATTATTAAAATTTTGTAAGATATTTAAACTTAGTAATTTATTAATGTTCGATCGAAATTATATATATATATATATATATATATATATATATATATTCAACAGTATATTTTTATATGTGTA